CCCCCCCCCCTAAATTGAAATATGTTAAAACCGTCCTTTTCACCTGATGTCACGGTGACCCTACATTGCCCACTGAGATAGTGAGAGGGAGTGGAGACGCCCCCGATGTGCTTTATAGGTCGAGTAAGTTCCGAATGGAAGGCTCAAATTTGCTTATAAATGTTATACATTTCAGGTGCACATTAGTTACACATAAAGATTACCGTAACTATATTTTAACCTTTTAATGAGTTGTCAAATAAATGGGCTCACTTCCTGGTTGGTTGATATCATAATGATCTAATTCCCACCCAAAGATTGAAATAGATTTTTATGTTAGTTTACAAATATGCATGGGTTCATCCACAACTGTTACTGTAGCCTAGTACATCTAGTTATGTTTGCAATTATTTTACTTCTTAACGGCAAAGTCGACACAGTTACGGTGATTTTCAGCGACACAGGCTACTGTCTACCAGGGTCAACCAGGGTATGGAGTAGATAGGAGGCAAGGTATACAACTTTCAGCAGAAAGGTGACACGAGGATACTCGGTTAAATATAGATTTTCCAACGAGAGAGAGAGAGAGAGAGAGAGAGAGAGAGAGAGAGAGAGAGAGAGAGAGAGAGAGAGAGAGAGAGAGTTTATTTCTCTTTTCAGCACAAGGATCGACCGCAGCCATTCTGCTGTGTCATAGCCAACTCTGTTACTCCCTTTTTCGTATTTGACTTGGTACGATCCAAACCTAAAAATAAACTTATGGGGATTCCTCCTAACCTTTTGACCTTACACAGGAAAGGGGGACCCTAAGAAGTTCAGGAATCAGTCTGCTCTTCACGCCACGCCCACAAACCCGAGGATTGCCTTGCACTTGCATGATGGTCACAATTCGCCTCCTCACCAGCCTCTTCCCTTAAATAAAAATGAATAATTCTTTGTCCCCTTTCTTTTGAATGAACAAGTTTCTTTGCTGAAAAAAATAACAACAACAGATAAATGGTCGAAGCAAACACTTTTGAAAACTTAGAATAGTTTTGCTGTTGTAATAGGCCTGGTCTCAACGTCTCAAGACCAAGACAGTTTTCACGTTTCTCTTGTTTTAGGTCAATACTGCCTACACACACTATGATTATTTATGGGTTGCAAGACAGCATATTTGTAGCCATACACAATGTTCACATTACATGTGCAACAAGGAAATTCAAGTCTCGGCGCCTGACATTGAGCATCGACACCCGAAAATCTATACTAGGCCTCCTATATGTATGTACCAAAACTATATGGTTTAGAACGACAGAGAGCCTTCCGTAGATCAAGATCTAATCTAGCCTAGTCTAGCCTAGCCTAGGCTAGACTCTAGATCTAATTGAAAACAAGACCAAAGTGAATTAGGCCTAGGCTAGCCTTGAGCGATCGATAGATCTAGAATAGGAAGGCATAGATCTATATGTCCGGAAGAGCTCGAATCTGTTTGACGGCACGAAAGAGTAGATCTAGGCTATCTCTCGAATAATCAACAGTGAGACTACTGAGACGTCACCCGAGTCTGGAGAAATTTCGCCGGCCTGTCTGTGCACTGTGCATCCTCAAACTCGAGGTGCCGTGGACGTGTGACCTCGAACGTCGAAAGCACTGAAAACTGAAAAGCGCCTGCGAAGCGAAGCAGTGGTGACGTCGACAGAGATCTACTTGAGAGATTAGAATCTAGATCTAGACTAGGCCTACCGATTAGTCTTTTACTACGGTTGCGAACCATATTATTAGGCAAGCCATGGATTTCGTTACCATAGTCGAATGGGCGACTGTTGTTGTCACTTTTGTGATGATAGGATCAGGATCGTGAGTTGTTTAAGTTGTTGCCTACACACACATTACTAGGCCGCTAATAATACGCACATTTACATCTAATCTAGATTCTAGATCTAGGTCTAGAATCTAGATCTAGATTCTAGATCAACATCATGTCCTCGAACATGCACGTTCCCGACCCGAGCACCTCCGCTGACCCCTTTAGCCTGTCTCTGCTGTGTCTCTGCCTCTGACACTATCCCTCACCACACTCAGTCTCAGCTCACACTCACAGTTCACCCCCCCCTCCCCTCCCCAATTCTGTCAGGGCCACCTTGAATCTACATTCTCATCCCAGGTGAGAATAACTCATGACCCGCTATTCTCACCCCCCCCCCCCCCCACTGGACAAAGACTGTGATGTAGCTAGATCTAGATCTAGATCTAGATTTCTAGATCTAGATCTAGATATATGTAAAAAGTAAAATAATAATAGTTCGGCCTGCTTCAAGCGTTCCATCCCATGAGATGAGGGAGCGCTCTTACTGAATTAAAGTCAGGATATGGGGGAAAATTACAATGCAAACTTTTGAAACAGATATATAGATCTGATATGATCATCTTGACCAGATCTTTGCTCAATTAAATGAAAAACAAATAAAATATAATAATGTAAAAATATTGTTTGCCTCTCCAGTAAAAAATAAATTATATTATGTCTCACTACCGACGCTACTGCACTGGACGGCCGCCGGCCAGACAATTTGTTGTTTATGGGCCTCTCTGCCTGCACCTATAAATTGTGGTTCAAGGAACAGAGAGCGTTTACGAACGTAACGAGACACGAGCACGAGGCTTATAGCCTATATCACTTGCATGACGGTAGAAGGGTTTAAATTATTCATACCAAAATAGGCGAGAGCGTTCGTATTTTAACTAGATCTAGTTTAATAATTTTATTAATAAAAGCAATCCAAGGTCTTCACTTTAATTTTTTTTCTTTTATTCTTTCTTTTTCTTTTTTCTTGCTTCTTCTGTCCCCTTCTTCTTGAACATTTGGAGTTTGAAGCCAAAAAAGAGCCAGAGAGCCAAATGAAATTCTCTTGGCCAGACGCAATCCAAAAGTTAAAGAGCCAAATTTCTGGGATTTGACTCTCCTAATTGACAACCCTGACTGACTATTCGGACACAAACACTATCCTGTGGAGCATCAGCTCCGGTAAACTCAGCCCTGATCCCTCTAGGGTAATATGGGTAAAACAAGGGAGTGAGAATAGCGGGACATAGAAATTCTCTCCCGGGGTGAGAATAACCACTTCCTTCTTCTTTCTGCCTGTCTAGCTGTTTGTCTGTCTGCTCCTCCCCCCCCCCCTCTCTCTCTCTCTCTCTCTCTCGATTACATCTCTCTCTCTCTCTCTCTCTCTCTCTCGATTACACCCCCTCTCTCTCTCTCTCTCTCTCTCTCTCTCTCCCTCTCCCCATAGTGGCTATAAAATAGCAGTCTGTCTTGTCTTAAGTACGTCCTTAGGTTAGGTCATATTGACCGAAACGTGTTGAGTAGGCTACACAGGTAGTAATTTTCAGGTTTAAAATACATACACTGTCAGTAAGGTACCTTTTGGTTTCGACTCATTGCAGACTAAAAATGTATTATAAACAATTCAGTTGGCCTATCTTTTGCTATAAAATTTGTCAGTCTAACCATCATTATTATAAATGCAGCTAGCCTGGCTGTAGCTGCCATTAAGTAGGACTAGCAGCTACCCCCCCCCCTGCTCTCTCTCTCTCTCTCTCTCTCTCTGTGTCTCTGTCTCTCTCTCTCTCTCTCTCCATATATATCCCTCTCTTTCTGCTCTCCCTCTCTTTCTCTTATTGCTCCCTGTCTGTCTCTCTGTCTGTCTGTCTCTCTCTCTGTCTGTCTGTCTCTCTCTCTCTTTCTCTCTATCTCTCCCCCCTCTCTCTCTCTCTCTCTCTCTCTCTCTCTCTCTCTCTCTCTCTCTCTCTCTCTCTCTCTCTCCATCTCTCTCTCTCTCTCCATATACAGTGGAAACCATATAATAGGCCCAGTAATAACAGGGATTTTTTAAATCATCATTTTTTCCTACTCTTTGTCTCTATTAAAAGGTATCGTCTATAACGGGGCATCATCGAAGCCCAACCGCTTATAGCAGGGACAAAGGCTCGTTAACAATGTGTAAAAAGTATGAGAGAGAGAGAGAGAGAGAGAGAGAGAGAGAGAGAGAGAGTGTAATGCAGTGATGGAGCAAGCCCACGCAAGCCATGCCACTGCAAGCACACATGTGAAGTAAGAGAGGTTGCTGTGTGCTGCAGACCTCGATCTAGCCCGAAACCTAGCTACCCACCCTCATAATGTGTCACCAACAATGTCAAGCGCAAGAGAAAATGCTTTTCAATTGACAGAAAACATGAAATAATCCAGGCTGTTTACAAAAAGCAAGCCTCACTTGCAGAGATTTGTCGTCAGTTCGACATTCCACAAGGGTCGAATCGCATCATTATCAAGGATAGAGAGAAGATAGTGGCAGCATAATACTCCAATTCGAAGTTTGCTCTGGATGGAAAGAAGATGAGACTACCCGATGCAGATGCTGGGGACCAAGCTCTTCTGATGTGGTTTAAGGAGGCAAGGAGAAAGTTGGTGCCAAAACCATTGTTCATGGGTACTTGTGGCAAGGGAAACTACCCACGAATAAGTACAGCTGGATTAGTCCACAAATGCTTACTTTCCTTGCATTTCTGATTTAAAAGGGATTGGATATAACAGGACATTTTCTCTACTCCCACCATCCCTGTTTCCACTGTATATATGTATATCCCTCTCTCTCTGCTCTCCCTCTCTTTCTTTAATTGCTCTCTGTCTTTCTCTCTCTCTTTCACATACGCACACACACACACACTCACTCTCTGTCTGTCTCCCTGTTCTTCTCTGTTGGTTTCTCCCCTCATTGTCAGTCTTGATGTATAGTCGAAATTGTCCTGGATGGCCACCTTTTTTAGAGGTGAAGAGTGGTTGTTTTGCACAGGTGAACGTTGTGGACAATTTAGATCTAGTTGAACCTGTCTAAGACTTAAGAGGGAATTGCAAGGGAGCCAGAAAAAAATTCAGGCGTAGACAGGGGAATAAACACAATCAACCAATGCCACCCCTTCTCGGCATGTAACAATGATTCTAGGAATTTTTTTCTAGGATGGTCATATGTATGGTCAGCAGGGCGCGGGCATTGGCCTAATTAATTTTGCACCTCTGACTACCCAAAACATTTCGGTGCTGAGCACCACTTGATTGAGCCATACCACTCTGACCATCTGCACCACTAAGGGCTCACATAGATGGGTTAACAGCTACCCCCAAACCACAGATGATATACAGACCTCATTGCGGGCTCCAATTATGATGACATGAACTTCTACAAGGATGTGACAACCAAATTGAACAACAATGCTTCAAATTGTTTGGAATGAAAGTGAGCACAGAAAAGTAAAAAGTCATGATCAAGACCATCAAAGGAAGCCAAGCTAAAATAACCAAGAGCAATGAGAAAGTGGGAGAAGTCTATGAATTAAAATATCTCGGTTTGTTGATAACGAAAGACAGACCATGCTCATGTGAAGTTGAGGTCAGAATCATAAAAGCAACAGCCACCATGCCCAAACTTAACAAAATCTTGAACAGCACCATAGTGTGCTTCCGAATCATATTCAAACTATACTTTTATATCAAAATTAATTCAATGAAATTTACATTTTATTGATCCCGTGGGGATTTTATCCTTTTGATCTGCTTAGATCTACATTATAATATGGCTGTTAATCCTAGATGTTCTGACTGAAGCCAAAAGAAAGATCGTATCTTTTTTTATGGGAATTTTCAGAAAATAATAATTTAAGGTATCTCTTCGACCACAATACAAATTTTAATGGTTATGTATGGATAACGATTAAAAATAAAGTTGGACTACATGAACCACTACTAGCTACAGTAAAAATAATACTTGCCTGGTTTGGACACACAGCCCGGTATGAAAGCCTTGCTAAAACCATCATACAAGGTGCTGTTGCAGGCAGTCGAAAAAGAGGACGACAAAGAAAGAGCTTGTCCGACGACATCAAAGAATGGATTGGTTTGTCTGCAAAAAAACTCTGTGATGTCAGAAAGAGGGTCATAGAAAGATCTTGACATTTTCTGCTTTCAGTTCCCCCTGATGATGCAAGTCGAAGGATAAGTCAAAGTGAGCTCGATAACCCGATCAACCTTATTGCTGACAGAATGGGGTTTAGCAGCATGCTTGTTGATATAAATAAAATTGAAATACACTTGCACCCATGTCAGAAATAGAACTCATGACAATGAATATCTTGTTTTGTTTCCACAGACCCATATGTATCAATATGTACAAGCAAAAAAGCACAAGAAATGTGCCTTACCTCCTTTTCCTGATATCAGCCTTTGTGTGAGTTTTTTTTTTTTTTTTCTGTTGTTTTGCATGTTGTTTTACTATTAGATTAAGATAATTTTTCTTGCTTTCTTGCATGATGTTTTCCCAGTTTCATTGTTTTGCTGTGTGCATCTGTAGTGTGTAGAAATCTAGTGAGCTCAAATTGGAACAATAACGACTTGAAAAGAATAGTCATGCGTGTGTGCTTACATCCATGCATTTGTGGGTGCGTGTGTGCGTGCTTGTGTTTGTGGATGTGTGGATGAATGTGTGCCTGCCAGTGTGCATGTATGCGTGTGTGTGAGCCATTTTGAAAATATCAGCTGAAAGCGATGAAACAACCTATACATTTGGAAAAAGTGATTTTTTTGCGTTGCTGACTTAATGAAAACTATCTCGAGTGCTTAAAAATTTTTTTGGTTGAGAAGACAAGGCAATCAGGTGCAATATATCGCATACAGAGGACAGTGGATGATTTATAAACTCTTCAGTTTGTTGGGGGGGGGGGGGGGGGGGGGGAGGAGGAGATGCCACGTTCCTTCATGGGTGACATTCTTGAAAAAAATTTTAAAGAAGCACCCACTTTTGCACAGCAGACTTATTGACGATGTTATTAGTTTGTCATGCTTACTTTTTGTGTGTTGTTCATGTAAAACTAGTAGAGGAGTGTAAAAGAGAGGTAGCCTACTGTTGTGACTGGATAAAAATGACTAATTGTGTGTGTTTTTTCTGCCTTTGTGAATTATTGTACATGTATATATTCAATGGTTTGGCATTTTCCATTTTCTGTTAGTCTTAAAATTTTAATGTACTTGTCTTGGTGCCTTTGGTTTGTAAAAAATTTTTTTTAAAGACGAAGCAAGCTTTTATTTTTGTTAACTGGTTATAAAAGTTTAGATTGATAGAATAATATAACTTGTGTAAGGTATGAAAATAAGATACTTGTGCATTTTTACTTCCGTGTCAAAAGGTTAAAAGTCTTTGCTGGCCCTTTTCTCTTTATTCTGTCATTGTGTCCTTTTTCTTTCTTTGACTTAAATGAATATTTTAGAAGGAATATTTTGGTAATTTCACATAGGCCACATTTAATTGTAAAAACCAAGATTCTGTTTCTTGATTAAATTTTAGTGAAAATAGACTGAACTAATAAACGAAAATTACACATAGCTGTAATATGTCAAGGGCATTTCTTCTTTTCCAAAAGTTGGACTCTTGCATGGTGTTTATTCAGAGCTCATTTTTGTTTTGGTAGTAAGTAGATTGTTTCATCAGTTTTGCATGTCGTTGCACGTTTCAGGAGCACTGTGAGCCTGCAGTATGGGTTGGTCATAAAAAATTCAGTGCTCATTCTCATCAACGTTGTAGCAGTACTTGTGTGGGGCCTGTATATCAGTGTGTACATCCTGGTCAGCAAATCCAAGGTAGTGTGAGCGTGTTTCCTGTGTTAGTGTGCCTCACAGTTTTCCAGGAGTAGTGGATTACTGAGGAAATGTCAGCCTTTCCATTTTTGTGTGTACTTTTATTGACTGTTTTTAGTGACTCTGCATTATCTCAAGGAAAATTAAGATTTAGAGTGTATTGTGCTCTGCAGGTTCATAATGTATTCCTTCATTTTGTGTTTTGAAATCTTTTTCAAAAGTAAAATTCACATTGAAATAGGAATTAAAGATATTGAAATAGAAAGAAAAAGAGGTTAATCCTCTAATACATGAGAATTTTGCACCAAATAACACTGCTATATGATTGGATTCACATTATTTGCTACAGCTATTTCCTGTTAAAAGGGATGAAACTTATGGAGCTGATAACCGTATCCAGCCCCCTCACCGACCTTTACCTCCAGCATTAACTATGCTCTCATGATATGAGTTGAGGCATAACAAAAGAATAAGAGTACCTTTGAAAGCAACAATTTAGTGAAAGAAAAATAGCTCAACATCCTAGTACAAAAATAAGCCAAAAATCAGTTGTGTTATTGTTTGAAGAATTTCAAATTGAATGTCCCTCATATTTTACAGGGGAATGTAGCATTAAATGATAATTCTATAGGAGATGCGGCATTTAGTCTTTATGACAGCTCCAGTTTGTGGCATTATTAACAGATGAAACAACAAACAATGTCCTCAGACTTTGCCGCTGGTCAAGCTGATGTCGGTTGTTCTCTTGTACTGGGGCCATCTGCTCTACCTCGAGTCAGTGCCGAAGAAAGATGTAATTTCTACCTTGGGAGTTTTTCTCATTGTCTGGTGCGTGGTTGCCTATCTCATCCCAGCTCTTGACATTGTGAGTATTAGATGCAAGTTTGAATGTTTGAGTCAACTAAGTCACTCAGATGCTAAACGATGAATGTTGATTGATTTTCTGTTCTAAGAACAAAAGATGTTGTTCTTATTTCTTATAAGGAGAAAGGGCTTATCTTGATTTGTGAGCTGTTTTGCAACTCTGAGAAACCCCAAAAATAGAGGAATTTGAACTCCCCACTTTTGTCTTCTGAAGTATGCACTTTTCCCCTTTATTGTGGAGTTCTTTTTGTAAAGAGTAGTATAAACCACTCTCCACTTGTGTTTGTCCGTAAGTTGGTGAATTGATCATAGTGGTGTTGAAGTTGTTTTTGTATTTATGTTTGTCATCATCATCTTTATCATTGTATCTCAATGGGTCTCTTCCAGACACAGGTTCTTGGATGTTCACTATGTAAATATCTTTCTCTGTTTGCTATGTTGCCGATCTGCTGCACTGAAGCGTATTCGGGGTCGACTACTAGCCTCCCATTCTATTTTCTTTAAGGTCACTGTTTTCCTCTCTTACTCTCTACCTTTCCCTTCGTGATTGTATTTGTTTGTCTGCTTGGTCACATGTAAGCCTACTTTCAAAAGTTACCACCTTAGTGTTTAAATTTGAGTGAGATATGGGTTAAGCATGAAGAAAGAAAATTAAGAGAAATTATGATTACAACATCCACAGGAGATGTAAAAAAGAGTATGAATAACTTAATGCTTGCTGATAGAAAGTATGAAAAAGGTGTTGACTAATCATAATCTGACACTAACTTGAATTTGTGACATTTAAATTCGCCCTGTTTTTTTCAGTCTCAGGATAACACTCTGTCCAAGAAATTATGACGTTTGTTATAATCAACGAGTATTCATCCTTTGAGATGATCTGTGTTGGCATCTCTCTGTGGGTGGTTGGGGGATGCACTGGTGTGGTTTGCTCTTTCTTTTGTATCAAACATCTATCATCTTAATCTCTCCTTTTTTGGTGTGTTATCTACGACAATTACGACCTATTTGCGTTGCAGGTGTCATAAATACCGTTACTAAAATCAAACAAACTCTCTCTCTCTTTATGTATTAGTGTTTTAAATATTTCTTTTTCCATATTCTTGCAGTGATTGTAGGACTGGGCTCGTAATCATGAGATTGCGGTTTCAGGGGTTTGATGCTCAGCTCTGCTTGACGTTATTTCCTTGGGAAAGGCAATTTACTCAGATTTTTCCTTCCTTTTGGTTCAGTTCTGTTGAAGATGGATGTTAAATTCTGAGGTCCTATCTCTTAAATATTCTTCCAAGAGCTCTGAAAACCTGTTGTTATTGCAGTTATTTGTGCTGTTGTCTTGCTTAATTCTGTTTCAGTGTGTTCCTGTAGGGTTTTGATTCTACCTTGTGCTTCTTTTTCTCTGAAGTGTTACAGTATTTCATAATTAAGTTTTTTTCTGTGAAATGTGGCCATTCTATTGCAAACTCTCCTTAAACTACAACCTCCACTTTTTTCTCTTTGTTTTTTTTTCATGATCTGTTCTGGGGAATTGGGGTGTTTATGGGGCTGACCAGCGGGGGACTCCAACTCAGCAAGTGTTTCTTCAACTCAGAGCTGATACTGTCTGTGTTGTAGTTGTTACACACTTTGCTGTAGCGCGCAGGAGACCCAAGTTCGATTCCCAAGTGGGAATAATTTTTAATAGAGTAACCTTCTTGTATCTCAGTTTTTCTGCAGGAATGTGGTATCCCTTTCAAAGCCGGCCTCGTAAATGAATTAGATTTTGTAGATGGCGTAAAAAGGAAAACCATTTACATTTTAACTTAAAGAGCTGATACCGGGTGGAAATGTCTTCACCATTGTTGCTCTCTCCTCAGCTGACCATGGTGAGAGAAAAGTCTGCTGCTAGCTGTGACCTGTCTCTGTTGCTGGGAGGCACTCTGAGTGCCTCTGTGTGGTACCTCTACGGAGTGCTGGTGGAAGACGTCAACATATATGTAAGTGGCTTATTGCATATTTATTTTGGCACTATTTATGTCAGAAGTTACGGAGGGTGATTGTTGGCTGCTCTGGCGTGATCTCTTCTTTCTGCTTTTGTCCAAATTGTTGCTATTGTCCTGATGTAAATGGCAATGTTTCTTTTGTCTCATAGTGAGCTCAATGATTTGGTCCTTTGTCTGCTTCTTCTACTTTTTAAAGCATCTGTATTTTCCTATTATGTAACCAGGGCTGTGTTTACTTTATCATGCCAAGTCACTGTAGACTCCCGACTCTGCCATAATCAGTTTAGTTGCTGTTGGTAAACTTCTTTTTTCTTCTCACTCTATCTTTCTGTCCATAGGCTAGACTTTTTTTCACCGCCCAAAGGGGGGACAATTCTCGTTCTAGTGCACAGTAGAATTGTAAATGGGCTGATCTAACAATGTCGCGCTCATAACTGTGCCTGAACTACAACAGGGAACTGCTGCTTTTTCTTTCCTAATCCTTACTATCATCATTTTCCTCTACTTCTTTTGTATGTTTGTCACACTCCTGTGACCTGGTATTACCGGGGTGCCTTGATAGTCGAAGCAGACTTTGTGCTACTGAAGCTAGAGAGGTGAGCAGAGTAAGTCTGATTCCCTGTAAGGATTTCTCTGTTGACATCCACCCCTTGGCACTCATATGACCTTATGCAGTTGCGAGCACCGTAAAAACTCTACTATAACTAACAAACTAAAGACTTTTTTTTTCCTTTTTTCCTTTATGATCCAAGTTTGTATCTTTACCCTGTCATTCATGCACACTTCTATAATTGACTTTTGTCAATTCATATCCATCTTTAAGAATTTGTAAAACTGTAAATTAGATGTATTATTCATTAACGCTGTTTAAATATTTTAAAAAATGTTTTCATTGTTTCTCCAAGTAGCCTTCATGTCGGAGAATGTGAACCTTGTTAACTTCAACGAGCTGAATACAGGAAAGATTTTTAGCAAATTCAGGGAATATTCGTAGAAATATGTTGAGGTAATTTTTACTTACGGTAATTTAAAACATGATTACTTTTTTATTTTTTATCTTCCATGTTCAGCTGCCGTGCATTATAGGGCTGGTCGTGAGTGGCATCAAGTTCTTCCTCATGTTGTTGTACCGATCTGGACCCAAAAAATCGACCACCACCGAGTTCTCCAAAGTTCGAGGAGGAGACAAGGCCACAGAATTTCATGAAGAGGTCTACCGTGTCTCCTCCAGGGATGGTCTGCGGCAGAGAATGTAATAAAACTTTGTCTTTTGGGTTTATAGACATGGTAAATTGTCATTGCTTGTAATCAGTGGCATGTGATTTATTATTGGAAAAAATCTGGAAACTATCACGGAATAGAATCAATTTTTCGAAAAGTTAAATGGCATGATGTCTTATTTGTATAGCTTTTATAACGATCTTTATTCTGAAAATGGTTTAAGGCACACACTATAATCTTCAGTGTTTTCATCTTTTTTGGGTGGAAGGTTAGATATAGAAGATAAATGTATGATCATGAAATAACTATGTTGCACCCATGATTACTTACGTACCGGTAATTCATATTCAGTGGTTTCACCAGTAGTAGGTGGAGGGTTTGATAAAGAAGATCAATATAATGATCAGGAATAAACGATGTTGCACCCAGAATTACTTACACAGTTAAAATCTGTAGCATTTTTACATTTTCAGCTATATTCGAGTATGACAATAATTGCTGAGTGAGGGAGTTTTGAGTAAAGTGTTGTGTCAGTTTGTGGTGGGCCAGTAAAATGTGTTGAAAAAAAATCCATATTATGTGTATCTGAAGATATTTTGTCAAAAGTCACTTTCCTCATTTTCTTTTTCATTTTGATGATTGATATAATGCGTGAATTTCCTTTTATTTTAATAGTTCGTTCTAGTCTCCTCCACTGAGTGGCATGGACTTGATGCACTTCTACAATGACGGCTGTGTACTCCACTTCATGTAGGCTTTCATCTCTCCTCTTCATTTTTTCTTTCACTCCAAGTTGAATATTTCTGTACTTTTTATTTTATGTTTGATAAAATGTCTTTTGATGCCATGTCTAGTCCTGAAAGATACACTCGAAATGATGTCCAATGAACCTGTCCGTACTTTGACAATTGGGGCCAATCTAAGAAAGCAAAATTTTGTGAATATTTTTTTATAAGGGGTCCAACACCTTCTTTTGTTGCCTTTGATTTGGGTCATTATTTGATTCTGATTTTTGTATTACATTTCCTTCATTAGGTTCTTTGATATATTTTGAAGAAGAAATGGTCTGCCCTTTGATCTTGAGAAATGTGTAATACGAGCGGATCTTTGAATGAGGCAGCAGTTTGGCTTTCTTTTTGAGGAAAATAAGCCTACAGTTCTTTCGATGGAGACATAATGAAGAAGCAATTTGAGTGGTTCAATACAACAAATGACTTTTTATTATAAACTTGCTAAATGTAGGACCATGCTTACTGTGCGGGTGTATGTATTAAAAAAATTTAAAGTTTTTATCTTTATTGATGAATATAATATTATGTCTAACTAGAATCCTTTAGACCCCCCATCCCTCCTCTCTCTGAATTCTTATTTCACTTTTTTATTGCATGGCTGAAAAGATCATAGTCAATTCTTTTTTTCATATTTACAGTAATTACCGCTGCAGCTACATTTGCTGTTTGTTGAACGATAACCACCCCATTTTTACAGCCTTTCTACTTCGTGCCACTACAATGTATGTTATGGACAAAGCTCTTTTTGATTTTCAAATTTAAACTGTAAAACATGTGGTTTAACCCTACCTGTACGTCATGTTTTACTATCGTATCCATACAACGTGGGGAACTCTGTGCCACCACTTTCCAAAGAGGAAATTTACTCGTTAATCCGATCTGTAGGCTTTGCATAGCTGTCTGTCAAAATGATTTTTTGAAAAATACTGAAAATTTCAAAGAGATCGTCGTACTAGAAGTATTCTAAAATGTGAAGATTACAACCCCAGGGTACAAAATGACCACAGGGCGTACGGATAGGTTTAGCTTTAAAGAAAAAAGCACAGGTGGGAGGTACCACCCATCTAGTAACTGATTGAAGATCACATGTAAACATTTTTACTTTGATTAATTGAGGATATTATATATATATATATATATATATATATATATATATATATATATATATATATATATATATATATATATGTCATCTGTGACTTCTTTTTTTTTTTTACCTTTGGCTTTGTTCTTCTTTGCTCTTACCCGTAGGCCTTGCCTAGTGGGTTTAAAATGACAGTTTGCGTCAAATAGGGATACTATTCTCATCTAAAAATAGAAATAACCCCCTACTACATGAAAGAGGTGCTAAGTTGAAAAAATGTGAACAAGGAGGTACATCTTCTTATCGTGCCTGAAGGTTGAGACTGCCTTCTTTGACAGTAATTTTCTTCTGCTCTGAAGTGCCTTTTTAATCCTTTAAGACTTTATGAAAGCAATTGTTATCAGAAGTGAAAGGGGATGGGTCAGATATTTTCTTTTACATCCACAAAAGCCTTATTGATTTCCATCTGTTTTAAGATGATTTTCCCCTGATGTTGATGCATACTGATTTGTTTTTCCATGTCATCCCACCTTGAAATGTGTGCTGTTTTGTCCCTGCAAACTATGGTGTTTGTGCCGGAATATTGTCTTTTTTTTTGGTTCCCTGATGGCGAGTCATGATGCTAATGAGGCCTTTGCGTGCCAGGAAATGGCCGTTGCAGTGAAAGGATTGATGGTCTTGCTTTGTTTCATCATCTATTGTGTCTTTAGATACTGAGGATCTATTTTTGCTGTCTGTAAGTCTTTCTTTTTTTATCTTGGGACTGGTCTTGACTTCACTATTCTCGTAGTTGTGACTGACAATCTGCTGCCTGTTCCCAAGTTTCCTCTGCAGAGGTCATGTCATTTTAGGTGTTTTTGTGTCTAAGTCAAAGTCGATCTGTTGCCCTCCTTCCACACTGTTCTTACAATACAGTTCAGTGCCTTTGATATAGATCATGTCATATGAACAGGGTTTCAGTCATTTTTTTATATTTGAAGGTGTGAAGAGTTTTTGCTGAACAGTGTTTGACAGTTTGATTTGATCTCCCTGAAAAGGCCGTGCGATTGTAAGAAAGCGTTCATCATGATAGAGAACTGTTGGTCAGTGGAAATGAATTGGGGTCTACTTCTACTAAAGCATTCATGGTTGTGTCCAAATCTTAACAATATACAGTTGTCCCTATCATCTCTCTGTCAAGACAGGACACGGGACAGTGGGTGGTTGGTTGGTGCTCTGATGTGGTTTGCTCCTTCTTTCCGATCAAACATCTGTCGTCCTTATCTCCCCTCCTTCTTTTTTGTGTATGTTGCTCTCTCGTAACACGTAATCTATTCTTCGGCACTTATATGACCTCATTGTGTTGCAAGTGCTGTAAAAGTTTTACTAAAACTAAACTAGGACACGCTACACAAGATTAATTTAATTGTTGGAAACTTCTATTCGATTTGTAATTTTTTTTTCTTTTATGTTACAACAATTTGTTTACAAGCTTTTCTGATTGTTCAAGCAGTTTCATTCGTTGATGGAAACACCATGTTGTTGTGTGCTCTTGTCCATTGATGGTCCTAGGAGCTGGGCAAGCATATCATTTCACAGTGTTGTCCTCCTAACAGCAACCCCCTTGGGAAGCAGGCTTTGGTTGCTGTTAGGCAGACGTTGCTAACTGAATTTTCAAGGGGGTGGGGGGGGGGGGATGTGCTGTAAACTTCAACGGTAATGATAATACTCACCTGTCCCCCCCCCCCACATGCGCACATGGGCGCGCAAGCATGTGGGTCTTAACCACAGGACTTGATGATGTTTTCATATATTCAGAAAGTGATCAATGGTAATGTTATGCACAGTGGCAGAGACTTCTCCCCTCTCTGCATTTTTGGTTCCAGCAGTTGTTTTTCACTATAAACAAGAGAGAAGGGATGCACACCTGCTGAAATTATAGACCAGTGTCGGTGTTGTTGTTTTTTAATCTTGAAAAAAATGTTCCACATCGAACTATTTATAATTTATTGCAACGGAGAGGAAGTCGTTGCTATTAACTGTTAAAGGGGGCTGTAAGGAGGAGGTTGCCTCATCAAAGGTGCTGTTACCTGGACACCATTGTAGTTAATTGAGATAATGGAAGGCAGTTGAAAGACATAGTGAGGGCATTATTTTCCCTGGAAAGAGATTTTCCTACAGTGACTCGGTGACTTTCATAGTCATGACACCATTATAGCACATTCAAACAGCTTGTCATTTCTTGTTGTTGAGGTGCAGCCTCTGTTCTTTTGTGTTTGGACTCGCACGTCTTTCTAAGGACATAGCCCAGTGATCTATTTAAAATAAACTGGACACCCGGACATTGCTTGCCATTCTTTTCCATTTTGTGATCACTATCTGCTGGACCATTTATGGTGCTGCTCAGAGTGAAGTTGTTCAGTCTTACTTCTCTCCCAAGCCTGTTTCTTTCTGTGATACGTGTTTTTGCCTTTTCCTTACACTAGGTATGTATGGTTGAGTCCATAGGCCTGCTGGTCTGTTTGTTCATTTTTTTTTCTCTTTCATTGTGGTTTTTCAATATGATACTTATCCATCCAACTGTATGTGCTATTTTACTGTGTTGTGTTTTCTTCACCACCAAATCTTTGTCTTTACCCCCAAGTTTTTATTGATGTGATCTTTTTACCGGAAAATATTCTGGGCAAAGTGCAGAGAATCATTTGTTGCCATTGCACCGTCAATCTATATTTTTATGATGTGGGTACAATAACATGTGCACTTGCTCAATTTACTTTCTTGGTTAATTTTCTTTCAAAATATGTTTTATGAAATTGTTAATTGTGATGATTTTGTCACCTGAAACCAGTGAAGAGACTGTGCTGAATATAGGCTGACCTTGTTGGTGTGTAAATCAGCTGGCCTTTAAATTAATATATAGTGGAGTCCACTTAAATCTCCCAATTTTTTTTCTCAGAAAGTCTGCCGGTCCCTCATATTTCGGTTTGAACGGATTCCACTGTATGTACTGTTTAAGAAAAGTATTTTTGTGATACAAAATCAAAGATGTGGATGCCATTTTATCTATAATTTTTTTTTGTAGTCTTACTTTCCTGGGTGATTATTGAAAATACTTAAAACTTATCTTGCACGGTGCTCTCTAGTCCCATATGTAAATTTTTCTTGTACAAGAATTTTTTGTAGTTATTTGTTTTTTAGCTGTGTACTTTGATTGTCTTTAAATACTAATACTATACGTCCTTTTATATGACTTCAAGACTTAAAGCGTTAGCTACTGCACGTGCCATATTCATATTGATTGCCTTGACGAAACTGGACCTCTGAGACAAAATGAAAAAATGGGCTTGTCTCTGTTTATATTTTGATTATAATAGTGGATTTGGCAATGTTTCTTTAAGAGAGATCTAGCATTGTTGTAATGAAGTCATTGAGCTGCCTGGACTGAGTTTATTCTCAATATTTGCCTATACTCCTGTGCATGCTGTCATGAACTGAAAATATCCGTACATGATGATATTGTTGTCTTAGTAAATGTTACATCTTGCCCACTTAAGTCTACCTCTTGCGATTAGTGATGGAAATCTCTCGCTACATTAATTAATGTCATTAGTTTTTTCTCATCTCAAAATATTTTGTAATTCCTGAAAATAGCACGGTACTGATAAGAACGGTTTTCTAATTGTGTATGATCTGTGCAGTTAATGAATTACATTTTTTTTGTGATTTAGGGGGGGGGGGGGAAGAATCTTTTGGTGCAGAATCTTTGTCAACTCATTTCTTTTTTTGAAATATAAAATATGATATCAATCTATTTACTGAGTGGGAATGTTACCTCCCTTTACTGTGGAAGTAGGCCTACCTGGTCTATTTGAAACTTTTTAGTCTTGATTATGTCTCTCTGCCTTGATTGCATCATTGAATATCTTGAACACTATAGAGTTTACTTTCTCTTTCATATAAAGTTATTGCTTTTAAAAAATATACATTAATATATATATACAGTAGTTGGGTGAAATTTATCACTTTTTTGTGTGCATTATGCTAGAGTGAGAGTCATTGTATTAAGCCTCAATAAAATACTTTTGAAGAATGATACAAAATTTCTTATATTGACTTGAACTGGTCTGGTTGATTTTTCATACTGTAAATTGTGCAATACATTTTGCGGAAATACATCTTTAACACTTTGCAGTTACTTGCCACAATAATGCGACAGTGAAAATTCTCCGTAACAGTCGCTTGATGCAGTTCTGCGACAGACCCGAGAAGCCTGTTGCAGTCACTCTCCTGGCTGGATGACCAGATGGTATTCTGTACTGCTGGCTGTGTTACTGCAAAGTGTTAAGAGTAAGAGCAGACCGAATGTCAACTTGCTTACTACGAAAAATGCTTTTGATTTGGCAACACTTGTTGGGGTGTCACATCTTTCTTTGTTTAAACAATGTTCTGTCGTCTGATTTCGTCTCCGCTTTCTGCCCCTACCCCCCTCAACTTCTTTTCCCCCACCTCTGGGCTCCTGACTTTTCCTGCAGCCTTTCTATTGCCTCTCCTTGGCTCCTTCTTACTGCTGTCTTTCAGCCACACCCCTGATCTTCTGGTACGAAAGATCTACACCTGGCCTTTTCGGACAAGGGCGAAAAATCTAGGGTGTCCCGTGTGCAAGTTGCGCACGTTAAAGATCCCTTGGTGGTCCAAAATTGATAAGAGTAGGCTTCGGCCGACACTCGATCAAAATTCCAGATTTCCTACCAACTGAAAATGTTTAGTGTGTCCTGTGCACTCATATAACCTTATGCAGTTGCGAGCGCCGTAAAACACTTCATCATCATCATCCAGTGCCAGACGTAGGACTGCAAGCACACTAACTATGTCATCACTCACAAGTGGCCCCCTCATGATTTTTCGGTATACTTTTATTAAATGCTAGGGATGAAGATGACTTATTTTTAAATTTCTGGTCACTCTATGTGAGGAGTTGAGAATGAGGGTAGTGTCCTGCCCCCCAGGGGATCTACAGTAAGCGCCAAACAAAAAAATAAAGTACGTTTTAACATGCACATCATTTCCAATATTACTACAGCACCATCATCGTTACCATCATCAACACTAACTAAACAATTCCCCTTTCTCTTGTAACATAACAATTTTCACCCTGTCAAAACATTTTTACGCAACTCGTAACCTACAAATACAAATATCGGCACCAAAATCTGGACTCGTGAAATTTTTACCTTGCACCTAAAAGAGTAAAAGTTTTGTTTTGTTTTAGTAGAGGTTTTACAGCACTCGCAACTGCATAAGGTCATATGAGAGCGAGAGCGCCAAGGGGTGGATGTCAACAGTGAAGTCCTTACAGGGAATCAGACTTACTTACTCAGCTCACCTCTCTAGTTTCAACAGCACAAAGTCTGCTTCAACTATCAAGGCACAAGAGTGTGACAAACATGATACAAAAGAAGAAGAGGAAAATGATGATAGTAAGGATTAGGAAAGAAAAAGCAGCAGTTCCCTGTTGTAGTTCAGGCACAGTGTAGGACCTCTAGCAGTACACTTCAACTGCCTGAATTTAACCCTGTTACTGCACTTTAAACTTTCACTTGTCAGGGGAAAGTCTTAGGAACAGGGATGCACTTTTAGTTTTAAGAAACGAGTAATACATATATGAATTATGATAGATACAAAGACCAGAAAGCTAAATATATTTGGAAGGCTTTTTGAAAAAGCTATAACGATAACAAACGCTGAAAAAATTTACCATTTCAACATTTACCCCTTGGAAATCTGCCGGAAATCTCGGAAACTGCCGAGGACCCGACGAAACCATTTACACTGACTTGCAGCGTCACAGTTGCCATCAGTTCTAAGTTAAATAACAGATAAACTTTTGGGTTTTTTTAGTAAAAGTTTTATGGCAGTTGCAACACAATAAGGTCATATAAGTGCAGAAGAATAGATGTGTTATATACACACAAAAAAGAGGAGAAATAAGGAAGATAGGTATTTGATAGGAAAGGAGTACACCACACCAGAGCACCCGCCAACGACCCGCACAATCTTTTGTGTTACTTTGGCTCAAAAAGAATTCTGATAACTACAGCAGGTCCTTCTTTTAAAAATTAGTGCCTTTTCGTTCAGTGTCGGTATTTCCGGAAACTGCTGAGGACCCAACAAAGCCATTATCACCCACTTGCAGTTGCGGATTTTAGTTTTAGTAGAGGTATTACGGCGTTCGCAACTGCATAAGGTCATATGAGCGCCAGAAGATTAGAGGTGTTACAAGAGAGTAACAAACACGAAAAGAAGAAGGGGAGATAAGGACGATACATGTTTCATAGGAAAGAAAAAGCAAACTACATCAGAGAATCGCCAACCACCCACGTTGCGGCTGCTGGCAGTTTTAAAATAATGGACTATTTTTTGTGATCCTCTTGATCAAAAAGAGTTCTAATGACTACAGGGTGTCCTTTTAAAATGAGTGCACGTTCGTTCAGCGCCAGCATTTTTGGGGTCTGTGTAGACCATTTTCAGAAACTGACGATTTTATCAGCAGTAACAGTCAGGTGGCAAAGAAAGTGCAGTGCCAATTTTATCGACACTTGCCTGTAATAGGGTTAAGAGTTGGAAATCAAAGAGGAACAGGACATTAAGTACTGTCCTCGTGGATTTATACACCCCGCATAATTACCAAAAGCAAAATTTGATCATTTTTTGCAGTTTCTGATTATTTCCCTTTTTTATTCTTTGTTAAAAAGTAGCAGAATCGCATAATTTCACATTTTTGGGCTCAGTTTGCATAATTTCAGAATTTTTCTTGCATAAAACGACGGGGACAGTAAGTAGCAAGACCAAAGTTGTCCAGTAAAATTCCAAGTGAGCACACAAACGATTCTCCTGCTGAAGAAAGTTAAAGCGAGATAGCTGGAGACATTTTTACAAGGGGCATTTAATGACCAGTGTTTCCAACCACAAGAATAATTTAGAACAAAAATCACAGATCCATGCCTGTGGGACATTCACGGTACAGCACACATTCAAAATGACCAACAATATCCACTTCTACTACTTACAATGGGAGCTCAATTAGTCTACAGAGTCCACAAGTATTTCCAATAAAGTACCAGATCCATTATAAAAATTCTTAATAAACACTATGAAATTGAACTACTCACATACAGCGACATTGAAGGGGAAATCAAAAGGGAGATTGATTTTTTTTCAAATCAATGACAAAAAAACTGGCAGCACAATTTGTAAAGCTAACTGCTATTTAAATGACAATTTTATACATGCTTTGGTTATAAATTACGACTGCTACCAATTACCAAGCAGAAAAAAAAAAATTACTCCTACTCCCCACATTTAAATTTAGTAGTTAAATGGAAACAGACATCCGGACACACAAAATGGCTGTAAAAGACAAGTAAACACCCACACCTGTTTTAGGATGTCAATATCGATGAACATTAACCCAGAATACTGTCACTGTGCTCCTTGAACTTACCAAATCGATCGATGGAAACAAATCCATTTAATTACAGTTTCACCTTCCAGCCTTGTACTTGTAAGTAACCAGAGACAAAGCTGACTGATCATTATTTCCAATTAACAGAAAATGTATAGATACGATTCACAAGAAACTTCAACAAGAACTTATTTTTGCTTTTAGTGGACACCACTGAATCACCTTGGTGGATGCAGAGATAGAAATCTTCCCCAAGTAATAAGATATACTACCCCTTACAGGAAAGGACAAGGTTTCATTTTTGATATTTGACAATTCAAAGTGGGAACAATTTGGAATCTCCAGATCACATGTGAGGATATAATTATAATACCAAACAGCAGGCAACACTACTGTTGTGGAAAAAATGGTAATATCTTTCATAAAAAATAAAAAGGGAAAAATTCTTAGTTTTTAGACCCAACCTTAATACAAGATGCATGTAGTTGGCAAATGCAGAGGATGCTGTCAAGCCTCCTTCAAACTGCTGGGTTCGATACAATTCTTCCCAAATGCACTCACTCACAGAACAAGACACATAACAACCTTGACCAGGCAAAACAAGCAACAAAATTCCAGTTAGTGGAACAGACTGCCTTTCTGCCTTAACTAACCACAACGGTTTTCCTGCTCACTGAAAACACGATCCTTTGGCTGAGCCTAGCGTTCTCCATCACCTTCAACTAATTCTTTTGTATCTGTACAGCTGTTGGATTGTAGTTTCTTGCCAGGTGACTTAATAACAAGAACAGACACATTTCACAAGGAAACACGAGGACAAAATGAACATTGATAAGGAAGAAGAAGGAGCTGACCATATCAGAGTGTCCACCCAACCTCCCACATTAGCATAGTATAACAGCGCCTCAACTTCTGATAAGATAAACTCTTTTCATTCACTCACAAAACAAAGAGAAAAGCAAAAGCAGAACATTCTCTCTTGCAAACAGAATGCCAAAAGTGTGGATTTATCTAAAGCCAAATGAAAATGTTGATTACACATAAGACTGACAATGCACAGGGGAAAAATTCTCTTCACACACTTTCCTTTTGTGCAGGCTTCATGATTTAACAGTGCACTAACAAAAATATGATTGAAACAAGAATTTAAAAAAAACAACAACCCAGCAGTGAAGACCATTTGAGAAAACTGCTCAGTCAGAACTCAATACATGTACTGTAAAAACCCCCCAACCAAAACAAACCCCACCCCCCCCCAAGCCAAACCCCTCCTGAGTTTCTTCTGTAATCACTCTTTGTATGTTGTACCAGCACCTAAAAATACTTAACTAGATGAGGTGGTTGTTACTACTTCTTATACTAGTTATACTTGTCTCCAGAGATCTTATTGTAAGCAAAGCTTGCAGAAAGTGAGAAAAATGATTGTGTTTCAGTAATTTCACAACCAAAAAGTTAATTTTTCTTTCTTGCTCACTTTTTCTTAAATCATTTGGAAAGTAAATTGCAATCTATATCAATAATGTCTGTTTTAGCTAACTTTAAAGAGAAGCAAGCTGAGACGATAATGGCCATTCAGCGCTAGGGAAAAGCAAAGCAGGAACAGAGGAACACCACAGAAGTAGGACCTATCACTATCAGAGAAGCCTGCCTACCGCCCGTAACAGGAGTGAGAGCATTTCACAACAGATATCAATCATAAGAAGCACTTACGCTAGACAATGCATCACTCAAATAAAATATTACAATCAGCATAAGACATGACGGTCATCAATAACATACAAAACCAGAAAGTGACGTTAAAAAATAATAAAAACACTAAGAATAAAAAAGAAACAAACATATGTTATGATAATTCTTACACTGGTGATTGGAATGACTGAGAATCTGAAGGACATATCAGAAGTGATAATGGGTCAGGATATAGCATCTTTTACTCTTCTTCTCGCCTTCCTTGAGCCTTAAAACTGTTTGTCAAAAATAATACATATAGGGTGCAGTACATGATGGATGAGATTTATGACTGAACTCATATTTTTTATAGTTCACCTCTTTAGAAACTTAAAACAGAAATTTTTCAGGTCTTAAAGGAGAAAAAGCCACTAAATGTTCCAAAACATCCACCTCAATGGAATCAGATAAGCTATCAAATCATCAAAAGTGGACATAACAGAATAAATTTGTTCAGAAGAAAATACTGCTTTTTAATGTCTTGATTTTGTGTCTCTTTTCACAACTTCCAGAGTGTGTGAATAAATGGCAATATCAAACTTGAGAGGGTCACGTTAGGTAAATCAGGAATTACATATTACTTTCAAGAAAGACATTATTTTGAAAAATATGCATCAATTCCAAAACACTGAATGTCTTTAGAATACAAATCTCTCAAAGAGAGGAATTTGCGATTTGGTGAAAAAACACACAAAAAAACACAAAAGCATGTCTATTTCTAGCACACACAAAAAAAGCCATGTACAGCCCCTTTTAGATAATGTAGCACACACAAAATGGTCCACTTGATATAATGTGTGAATCACTTCCCTCACTGAACACAACATGACTCCTACAATTAATCTTCCAAGTTTTTTCTTTCATTCCACTGAAGTCAATGCTTGAATGGTTTTCACAATATATGATGGGTGCAAACTGCATCCTCGTAGCTTTCACATAGTCCCATAACTGAAAAGTGTCGATTAAAAAAACAAAAAACAAAAACAAACCCAAAACACTTCAAGAATCAAATGTTGATAAATACGAGAATAGTCACACAAATAGACGATACAGCATTCATGAACCACACGAGACATAATTATCAGTTGTAATGATCCCGGCCAGCCTCAACTGGATAATCATCCCCTCATGTCAAGAAAGTAAAAACTATACTATAAATCAGTCTGAAAACACAGTATAACATAAAAGAATCTCTCATGATCAGAACTTGCACACAGCAAGTAAAGTGACCTCCTGTACAAAAATATTTATTTGAGGAAATAAAACAGAGAAGCTTGCTTTATAATACATTTGACCTATATATATTTACACTGACAGCCAGGCATATTACTCTCTTGAAGAGAGAACTCAAGAACGTTTACAATCACAATTAGTTTGAACCATAAACAGTATTTCACAATGCTCGTGTTCATTTTGAGCTTCTGACCTTTCCGAAAGGATCTTTGGTTCTCTCTTTAGTTTTTTAAACCAAGAGTCGATCAGTGCTGACATAAAGCTGTGCCATAACACAGGAACCCAACAAACTGAAAAGCCTATTTTTCTCTAGCCCTTTCATCAGTTATACTTTAACCCAAAGCAACCTCAGATTTGATCAACTAAATAAATGCTTTATATGAAAAAAAAATATCATCTGAACCAACGTAGAAAACAAAGTGAAGTGCAGGAGAAAGAAACCGAATTCGAAAAATCCTATTTGTAAAAACAAATTTCATTAACACAGATTTACAGGAAGTCTTCACACAGACTGTAGTCGACAAGCTTGAAGACCGGTAAGGGTCTAAACATCTTGTTCCTGATCCCTCATGCTACGACATTAGCAACAACCACATAGAGTTCAGACAGAAGATCAAAATTAAAGGAATGCATTGTGCCTAAAAAGATCAGAAATTTACATGAAATTTATAATGATAGATTGAATGTATAGCTTTGGAAGCATCTATGATTGTAATATATGTGTACTGGTTTCACTGAAATCATTTTGAAATTTTTTCCCTCCTGATGAATACGCCAGGTGACGCAGAGGTGAAAACCTTGAAATGTACACTTTAAATATCAAAATAATTGTTTTATGTGTTGCGTGTGTGATGAGAGAGCAAGACAGTGGCAAGAAACCCTTCAACCTCAACACAATCTCAATTTGAAATTCAATATGACAAAACAAAAAGCCCCCAGAAAACCTAGTTAATCAAGATGATGAGTTCGTAGATTTCTTCAATATCACAGCGTCGGGAGAGAAACCCAGACAACATTTTGTTTATGGCCTGACCACTCCCCAGTCCAAACAAAAACTAAACCAAAAAACACAAAAAACTCCAACCCCATCACTGTTGCCAGAAGATTATGTATCTGATCAAAAAACAAAACTGTATAAGGTACATTAAATAATATTGAGAACATCTATATTTTCAAGACGTAAAAAATAACAATGTTATATTTTAGATAAGCAGACAAAATTGTAACTATACCCCTTTAACTTCATTTCCTTACTTCACAACCTATGTGAACTCAGTATGATGACAGATGCTTCTGTAAATCAAGTATCAAATATCAAATGGTCTGAGGGAATTATCAACACCCAAGACAATTCTTTAGTGGGCTTCTCACAGCATACCATATAAGGAAGTAAGGGGGCTCGAAACATGTTTTTGCTAAAGGGTTTGCATGTTGCATTCCTTCAGCTATTCAAATCTGGATCTATTCATTTCAAATTACAATATTTTCCTCATAAACAGAGTGCCATGTAAGGACCATATACAACATGACATGCAAGTTACATTTCCAACCAGTTCAGGTTCAGAACCGACTGACACTCCCAGCTTCTTTTCTTCTCCACCTGGAATTCACTGACAACCCTCTGATAAATCCAACCTTCAAAAGGTCAGAAAGCAATTAGAATGCAATGTAACTCCCAAATCGACACACGCAGAACGAAAAATAACAACTACAACAACACTTGAAAAGCTTTAGTTGAGGGGTCCACTTGGTGTGTGTAGCGAGTGCCGCGGGGAGAGCAGAGAGCCAAGAGAGGAGATCAGTAGCGGTTTTCACTGCCGTAACCCGAGACTGCGCCACGGGCTGCCCCAGCCGCAGCATCAGAGGCCGCACCGCGCACTGCCTCGTTCTTCATCACCCCAGAGGCAAACTCAGCCTGGGCCTTCTGGAAGCTGGCGCCGGTGCTGCGGTAGATGCGGTGCACCTGGGGAAAGGCGAGTCACCGTATTATTAGCTTCATGTATGAGCTGCAAACAAACATACCATTATAGTGCTCTACTGAAGATACAATATTATTGTTTTTGCATTTGAATTACAACTACAAGGAATCATACAAAATATAAAATAAAATATTGATTTGCGATTGGAATTGGAGCTAAGAGGAAATATCATTGTGGTAAGCAAAAATAAGATAAATAGCTGGTTCACATTTGAGCCGCAGAGAAGCATTTTATTACCAAGACAGACTTTGATTAAATTACGTGTGAAGCGATTCCATCCTATGCCTGATTTCAGAATCACAGACACCGTAAGGAACAAGGAACATGATAACCAGTGTCGCTCTATATAAACCAAAAGAGAATCTATTATCCTCTTGCAAAATTTCAAGCTCAAGATATTTTAGAAACAGGAAAGCAAATTATAATAATGGAGACAATATTGTCATAAACTATGACAAAAGACATTGGGTAGGATTACTAGAACCCCAGAGAAGTCAGCCATCAAACAAGGTTCATACTCCGGCTATTGAGAAGCACCTTATCAGCTGAGAAGAGTTTATTAAATTACGGTGCAGCTAGGAAAATATGGTATTCAGGAAGTCAACTCATTGTACCAAGTTTGCACAAACTATCCTGAACTTTAAATACCATACATGTTATCTTTCAGGAGGCACAATCTGCTATGTAACAGTTACTAAAAAGATACCAGATCTGATCACCTATCACCTACCCCCTCCGATAAAAAATTTAGACGTGAGATATATCAACTACCAGATTAAATACAGTTGCACTATGCTTTCACAAAGTTTGTTTCAAACCTCACACGTATGACGAAAAGACGAAGCCTAACAGAGCAATTACAAATTATATAGGTCAGTTATGTTATCAATCAATGATTGACAGTGCATAAAAGCAAACTGAGCGCAAAATAAATTTTCTTGTAACAAATATTTAGAGATCATTACAACCAACAAAAATATTTTTTAAAAATATGTAACTACAACAAATATTCAACACTAGTAACAATTACTTTCTCATACGAGGAGTGAATAACAATGAACTAAAATTTCTGAAGCCACAACATTATTGCTAAAATACATGTGTATTACATAAACTTAGGAATTCACAGAACAAAATACACCAACTACAAAGATATGTTACCCGAGCATGCATCATGTTTTAAGGGGACGACTAGCTTAACAGTAACAGGTTAGAGCTGGTTTACACTTATGTAGCTATGACCCACAGCATTCATACCGAACTGAAAATGCTCTAGATTTTTTACCAAACCCATTAACATTAAGGCTATGAAAAAATAATAATAAGCAAAAAGAATACACAGATACAATACCGGGGAGAGAAAAATAAAATGGTGCTAGACATGGGTGAATTTTAAAAATCCACATGACAACCAGTTACCAGATTAACATTGGTGATAACCAAACCAAAGTAAAGGTGAATATGAAATTTGTCTTGTATCAGTAAGAGGGTGGTGTTAGAATAAAATAGACCACACTAAAAATTCAGGCTGCTGTAGGGAAAAAAATTCTATGATTGACGGCCTGTACTTCTGCTCCCCCAGAAGATGAAATTCAAGAATTGTATAGGAAACGCCTGAATGGTCAAAGGGAAAAAATATTTATCACTACATTCATTGAATTGGCCTTGTTTCCACACAGTAGCTACAGTTACATCAATAGAGCTTTTGACACTAAATGACTATACTACATCAAAATGACACAAACAAAATACCCAACACAGGATTTGACAAAGGACTACAGTAGCTATCTTAGGATTAAAACAAAATGAACTTTGTGGACAAGTCAGGACCTGCCTAAGCCTTTTCAACACAGGGTGCTTTAAACTTACCATGAAATTAAGAGTGACTGGGACAATGAAGCAAGTAATAATTTTTGTAAACTCGAGTCCAAATTCTGGCACGCTGAGAAAACATTACCCTAGGATCAATGCTTTAAGGCATAGGCATTAGTCATTAGCCAGATGCTCTTGATAAAAAAAATGCTGAAAAGGAAGCAAGGCCTCTCTCTTTTATGAATGCGTCCCTTCTATTGCCATACCTAGTGTTTTCGGAGGAAAGGGTTTCAATATGGAAATTAAATCACATTTCCTACCTTAATGAGTATGATAATACTGGCAGCAGCATTCACTGTGAATAAGAATCCTACTACAAGCATGATGCCTCCGGCTGCAGAATCGGAGCCTACAACAGTTAGACCGTTAATCCAGCCTCTGGATACAGAAGTACAAACATTTTGTCACCACTAGTTATTAAACAAATGCAAGACTGTGTCATTGAAGCTCTGTTCTTTCATTTTGCTCCAAATACCGAGTTATTCAAAAGTAACACTTTACTTTCTGTTCTATAGTTCTAGTAATGTACCCTACAGCAATAGAAAGCAAAGTGTTAAGCTATATTTGTCCACTCTTACTTTTACCAAAGATTGCAGGTTTTAACCATACAGTGACGCAAAAGTTAAAAAGCGAGCAATAAAAACGTTTTAAAGCAACAAAAGAAAATTAGAACAAAATCCGCAATGACGATTTTTCCCCTCCAGTTTTTCTAAATTATTCACATTATTAACTCTCCATTTGGGCATTTCAGAACTTAAATGACACTGGTATCCCTGCAATCTGAGCTTAGCATCAGCATTTTTGTCTGCAACGAACATGCTATAAAATGAGATTTTTTTCTAACTGGCAAATTGTAATCAAAATTAAACCCTTCAAAACGAACTAAAATTTGGGCTAACCATTAAAAAAAAAAAGAAGAGTAAGCTTCACTCATCAGCAAAGTATCTATTGAGGCACTGGGCTGAAAGGAATAGTGAGTGAACTGCTGCACGGATAATAAAAACCTTCTGAGGTTTATAAAACTTCATTTATCCACTTCCAAGCATGTACCATAGAGACTGCAAGGAGTTAAATACAGGCTGCTTAATAAACTCAGATTGCATTGAGGGGTTCAACCTGTGGAAATCAGTACTATGTAAAAGTATACAACATGCATAAGCGAGAAAAAAAACAACAACAAAAAAACCCCAATGAGTCCCACAAGGAGAGGAAGAAAGTCAAAAAGGCGATACTAATGGAAGTGCTGAACACAAAGACAGCTGGTTAAACACAAAAATAAAAACACCACAGATGACAACAACTACAGGTCCTTGTTGGAAATGCATTTAGTCAAGAAACACTAGAATAGGAAGCAACTCTCTGCCCTACCCTCCTGTCCTCGAAAATGAAGAAATTGAGTTGTCAGGCATCACCTCAGTGTATTAGTCCGTTAATGTGTGTATGAGAGTGGACTTTCTTATGCATGTGAATGCTTGCATTGGCAGAGTAGTTTCTTATGACAGAGTGAAACAGAATGTTTTAATATTAAGTACAACATCCATGGTGGGACTGGGCATTATGAAAATAACCAAATTAAATTAAAACGCACATTTTTACATTCATTCTCACATGGTGGGATTAATTCAAAATCATTTCCTTGATCCTCGACAAATAAGGTTATTACATTAAAAGACTGGACCATAAATAGCAAATCAATTTCCTTCAAGTTATGAGTTTTGAACTATTTTTACTTGAAATTGTCAGGTAAAAGTGATTGCTGGAAACAGCACCCCGACATTGAGAGAAGAGTTAACCATGTCAGAGTGCACTACCAGTTTACCACCAATACACAGACGTACAGTTGTGCTGGATTTCCAGTCTACCAGTAATAGGCAATTGCAATCACAAAATTGGGCAAAGCATTAGAAATATTCAGCCTATAATCTATAACTCCACATCCAGTGCAGGAATTGGCCATTGCAAATGAAGACTCCATAAAATGAGAATACTGTGTTGTCTTTTAATGAAAAATTGGATTTATTTCATCACATAGTGAGCTGGTGATAAATGATGTACTTGGGCGGGAAATAAGGGCTAGGTATAACTGTTTGCGATGGGACAATTGCTGGATCACTTGTTTAGTAATGAAGACGAATTAGATCAGGAATATGCGTGCAGTCAACTGTTGTAGTAATAGAGGTGATGAAAGAAATGACGATGCCAGTGATGGGGATTCATATCCATTTAGATCTAGGCCTGGATTGAGGTTTGGAAGAAGGGGAGTGGCTCCATAACAGCTGCGCTTGGTGATTTCATGGAAATTCACTAATAAATAGCATACAACAAAAGAATACTGGTGTTAGAAAGTTGACCTCTTGTAAAATATTGTGACGAGTTTTCATGGGTTTCTGTTCATTTGTTTGCTTGCATTCAATTGCTCAGGAGGCTAGGTATAATTATAGGTCATTTAGGATCAGGAGGTTAAGTCTGACAGGGGTTAAACATCAAATGAATCTTTGTGCACTCACCACCCTGCTTCTTTAATTATTTTTAGAATTACAACACACAGTGAAGGAATCTACAAGAGTGCATACACCGCAAGAACCATAATGTCACCAAGAGAAACAAAATAACGAAAAAGAAAAGAATAAGCAAATGAATAGATGCACAATGCAACATGCAGGATCAACAGCTTGACAAAGCCCGCGACCTGAACCCGCGAGTCTACCTTGACAAGGATGACAAAGGCAACGACTGCCTGGACTCCGAAAAATATGCCAATGAAAATCATGATGAGACCAACAGTCACATTGTCCCCAACCACGGTCAAACCTGAGATGATTCCACTGGTGTCAGCATGCAACAGATGAGAGGAAAATAGTCAGAAATGATGTATTCAGTAACTAAAAATATATAGCAGACTTTGATAAACAGAGAATGATGTTGATTATGGGTAAAAAAATCTGTCAATCTAACACATAATCTTTTTTTTATGCCCCCCCCCCCCCCCCCTTAAAAAAGTACAAAAAGGCAATGAGACCCATGAAAATGAAAAGACAATCAAAATTTCAAAAGCATGAAAGGAGATTTCACAATGTCTCACAAATCACAAAATTAGAGGTTCAATTCAGAATGATGCATAATTATATTCTGAAATAAAGCCAAGGGAATAAGTGAATACAACTATTTCATGTTACTGAAAGTGCTCAATTCTTAAAGTTTTTATTTTGCATAGCTCTGAGCTTTTCACATGTAAATTTATATGCACCACAGAAACAGATAAAAGGAAACCATCAGCAAAAAAAAAAAAAGAATAAAAAAAAAAAAGCCATGAATGTAATACAGTAAGAACACATTCAAATTACAAAAATACTTTCAAAAATGTATTTTAGAATTTAACCTTTGAGCCAATATCAGCTCCTGTGATGCCCGATATATTCCCAGGCCTGGAACCAGGGCGCAGACAATCTCTACCCAGAAAGAGTCAGGTAAAGAGTTCCAACTTCCCTAACGATTTCAATACATTTACATGCTGCACAAGCAAAGCTGGAACCCCAAAACACTTTGATTTCAAGGACACAAAAAAAGTATTCTTAAGAAAGACCAATAGAAAAGCATCCCAGAAAGGTAGCTTACAGTATGAGGGGTTGGAAATAATCATCACAGATATGAAACCAAAACCAGACCACCAAAAAATGCTGTCTCATCAAATTGTCAAAATTCTCTTCAAAATCAAACCATCATGGTCTTCATGTTGGTAATAATCCCAAAGCCTAACATGACATCATTGATTACACTTAGTATAAGTCTAATTACTGTTCTTTACTATAGATTTAATGAACATAGAGCATGGCCAAAACAAGAAGACAAATAGAAACTATTTAAGGGAACGATAGAAGTGCAAGTTCAACCAATGATTACTTTTCAACCTGTGCTTCTATGATCAATTGGATGATTCCACATCTCTCAAATATTCTTTTTTGGTCACCTTTTAAGCATTTCTATCGCAGAAAATGAGGTTAAATAACCTACACCATTAAAATTATTTTTAACAGGATACTGTAAAAGCAGAAATAAAATACTTACACTGTAAAATCAGTGATTCCCAGGCACTGAACCACATACACACAAAATTGGAAGAAAAATATGAAGAAAAACACAAAAAAGTTGAATGAGCTGTCACTCCTGAAAAAGAGAAAAACAAAGACAAAAAAATATACTAACACGAATCTTTACAGGAAAACATATTTTGAACATTTATCAATACTATGAGAAGACTTATGTGAAGAAAAATCATTTAAATCTCTCCAGCGTGCAAGGTCTCTCTTCTCCATTTTTTGCCCAAAGTAGAAACAATGTATTTGAAGCTTGCTTTTTAAAGATGCATGCAAATGTTGAGAAACTCTCGACACTCGCAGCAAAGTGAACATGGTCTTCTGTGGCACTTTTAAGTAGAAAAAAGTTTCCATATCTAGCACAGAAGAAATAAACATGAAAAAAAAAAGAAGTAAAATGAGAAAAAAAAGATGACCACTGTTTATTTTAAATCGGGTAAGACCTAGATTGCGAGCCTACAAATAGGAAAAAGCACTAGTGCAAAATCAGATTTTTCCTAAACAAATCACACGAGTAAACGTGTAAATTAGTCACTCCTATTGAGCAGGCAAATATGTAGCTGTAGAGATGAGCTTCTTGTGGGTTTCTTTGCACTTTATGACTGTAGTGAAATCAGTAATCTTTTCTTGAAGAGATCAGAGTACCGTTAAAGTACTTGCTCCCTTTTGTACCCTTTGTGCATTATCTCTAATCACTGATAATAATTTATATTATTTTCTACTGCCTTCAATACCTTATTAAAGAGTAAATACTTATTTGATTTCTCAATCTTCTTAATCTGCTTTTTTTCTGTAGATATTATTTAGCTCATTTCTTAAGCCCCAACTTTCTGTGGTTGAGTAGTTTTGCTATGAGCATACCATGCTACCAAATTTTATACTATGTTAAGCAACCTCAGTGACGAGTGACTACAAGAAGGGTCTCACCTAAATGCTTTGTAGAGCGGTCTGTACCAACAGATGAAGGAGCAGGGTGTGAAGAGAGCAAACCACAGGATGGACAGGCCAAAGGTTGCCCCACCGTCAGACGGCTTCGCTATAAAGTAGGCCAAACTTCCCAGGAAATTGAGGAAGAGAACTATTACATGGACTGTGGAACAGAAACATTCAAGCTCTGAGAAACAGATATGGGCAAGGCCGAAAATCATCTTTACATTGAAAAACAAAACAAAACAAAAAAAACCCCAGTGTGTGTGTGTGTGTCTTCCACTTCGCTAGAAAATAGATTAGAAGAATGGTAACACTGAAAAGATGTAAAAGTAACAACCACATGAGAGCTCCCACGAACAGCCTCCGAATGTGAGCTACAGGTAACTACTTAGGGAGATTTTTAGTTTTAGTAACAGTTTTACAGCGCTCGCAACTGCATACAGTCATATATGAGCGTGCGAAACACAAGTTTTGCATATACAACAGTTCACTGCACGGCTTGGCCCAGGTCAATGATCAGATTTAAAATGTAGGCCAATGATCAGATTTAAAATGCTAAAAACTAACAGTAAAATAACAGTTTAAAAATGATAACCTGCTTAAAATCAAAATAACTGTTTTTACAATTTACGCCTTTAAAAAATCAAAAATTCTGTCAGGATCAACGACAAAGAACAGATCTGGCAATTTTTGCATTTAAAATACTTCCTTCAGGTCTCTCCTAAGTCCTGACATTTTGTTAAAATGTGTCCAAAGGAAAAAACTGTGTTGCATCCAACACAAAATGGTTTTTCATCTCCCTGAAGGAGGTACTTATGTGTTAGGGAGGTGTGTCCGATATGTAATCGAGTAAAAATGACTTCTTCTCTTCTGGAGAGGCCCGAAGGCTTTCGTGGACCCAGTTTGGGTATAATGTTGTGGAGTTTGTTTTTGATTTGTTTCTCCCAATGTGTCTCCCACAGACTGGAGGTGTAGTTTTTTACTTTATTTTTAAAGTCAGTCAGTGGGAGAGTGTTCGTCGATGATCTCAACAGAAGGGACAAGGATTCCTTGGCCAGGAGATCCATCTGCTCCTTTCCTCGGATGCCCACATGGCTAGGTAGCCATGCAAACACGATACTTTTCCCAGTTTGTCAAAGCGTGTATTTTTTTGTAACCTAACTATTTTTGGGTGAAAGTGTTTTTAAGTGAGGTGATGCAAGACAGAGTCAGATATGATATGGAAAGATTTGTTAGGGGATTTTCCTATGGAGTCCAGTGCCGTGTCAATGGCAGTGGCCTCCGCAGAGAAAATGGAGGCTTCAGGAAGGAGTCTCCTCTGGTGTGTACTGTAACAAGATAGGGCAGCAGCACCCACATCAGAGTCCAATTTAGAGCCATCTATGAAGATAAACTCTGCACTGGGATATTTTTCTGTAACTGTTTTGTATTCTGCTTTAAATGTTTTGGTGTTTGTACTTGCTTTGTTGTGTGTCGTGAGCTATAGTCTACTTTTGTCTTGGTACGGTGCCACGGAGGGAGGTCGGGGAAAAGAAATTGTTGGATGTCTTGTTTTGAAAAGTGTATGTTTTTGAGGCCCTCTTAGGCCGAAAGGTTCTATGTGTTTTTCGTTGTTTTTTAATTTGTTTATGGTGTCTGGGTTTGTTCTGAAAATGCAGCCATGCGCTGGGTTTTCTAGTGTTGAGCTCTGTTTCATTGCGTATTGTAGTGAGAGTTGTGCATGTCTCAGTGTAAGTGATGGTATGTGTGCCTCGGCCTGGAGGCACTCCACTGGAGAAATGCGGAAAGCTCCCAGGGCGAGGCGGAGTCCTTGGTTTGGAACTGGGTCTAGCATTTTTATGACATGGGGTTTTGCCGATCCATAAATAGCCATAGTCAAGTCTGGATCGGACAAGGGAAATGTATAAGTGGAGAAGGTGTTTTGAGTATCCGCCCCACTCCGGATGCGATAAATTTTTAAAGCGTTTAACGCTTTCTGGCACCTAACACGAAGGTCTTAAATGTCTAGTATGAAAGTGAGTTTCTTGTCAAATATAGGGAGATGATAAGTATTCTGACAATATTGTAGCAAAGAGCAGCAACCAAAAAGACACCACATATGATCAGTAAACGGAAGCAAAAAAGATCATGAGCTGTCACCTAAAATTACTATAATGAGACTGAACAATAATATGACTTCACTTGAAAATTGTCTCAGCATTCAATAAAATCAATCATTATTCTTCTTTCTACAGTTTTTGATAAAGAATTACATGTTCTTTTCTAATAAGTCTGCTATTGCAATTACATTACTTCATGAATGGAGAAAAATGTGAAAATACACTGCACAAAATACAGAATATCTTCTCGCAACATCAAGGTGTGAATTACACACTAACACTATACAGCAGTCAATTCAATTTCAAAGAAGAAAAAATCAAACTTACATCCCCAAAGATAGTATGTAAATTTCACAATTCTCTGGAATTCCATGGGTATGTCCACGTTGAAGTCTTGATAAAAACAAGGCCCAACTGGGCAGAACTTCGGCAGCGGGGGCCAATTGTTCTCACGCCCTGTAGAAATGGGAAGAATAATTTTACATCAAACACTAAGAAAGCAAACATACAGTGTAGAGGCAAGTAAGACACATGACTTAATCATTCACACATCATATCTCTACTGAAAGCCACAGCTGATCATTAAAATATTAATCAACAGTAATTTATTAACACAAATAAACATTTCAAATGCAACAAACAGGTAACAAGAAAAAAATATTTCATCTACAGTACAAATGTCTGCCCACTGTGCCCTTTTTCCTTTTTCAATATTAACTCTTTTTATCCGGGCTACGAGTATACTCGTAACGAGGACCAGTCCGGGCTACGAGTATTCTCGGAACAGTGATACGGTCACGTCAAAGAAGCTAGTTCTGCTTGTAATTATCAAAATACGCAAATACGGCGATGCTAGCTCTGTCTGAATATTTTAATTTTCCAATGAACAGTGGTTTCTTTGTTTTTGATGGGTGTAGAAGCTTGAAAGATGTCTCGAAAACGCACATTCACGACCGACGAAGTACTTTTTGAAGTTGCGCTGGGTTGTGAGGGGAATGATACTAATTTGATGATAGTGACTCTGAAATAAGTGCCGTAAATTCCGTTGTGGATGATAAGAAACATGACTTAGACTCATCTAATAGCGATTCAGATCATGGTGAAGGGGTCAGTACTGGAATTCGTGTTCGAAGGGTAGGGCTTGATCTAGATTTATAAAATCCAGTGGGACGTCGTGGGCGCGGCAATCAGGGTCAAGTTCGAGGGTGGAATACACCTCAAAATCTACATTGTGCTATTGGTGTATTTCCTAACCACATACATTTACAAAAACTACATTCAATTTCTAACATAACTGCCAAATTTCCTTTAAAACCTTAGAGTAAAAGTAAGAAATATAGCACTTTGAACTATACGCACTGACTTCCGACTCATACGGCGCGGCAGCCCCAGGACGGGTACAGCGTCCGTGGGGGTACGGCTAGGATAAAAAGAGTTAAGATATTGTGCTGATAAAACAAAATGAAAATGTTTAAACTGTGACTTGGGATATTTTTTAATGGATCTTAAAACCAGGCATACTTACTTCCAGCCATTTGAGCGTTTTTCATTTCTTGTTCTTTGCGTTGTAACTCTGCTGCTTTCCTCTCTAACTCCTGAAGACAACAGATCATAGACAAACAAACTGATTATTAGTGGGCGTAAAACTTTAGCTTTCTAAATATGACCTGACTTAGATTTAAAAAAAAAAAAGAAATGAAAAGATAAAGTAAACCATCTTGAGTAATGATGTAAACTCTTAAACATTTTTTGGTTGTCAATTTTCTGCAATGAAACATCTGACATATATGTATTTCAATATGATATGATGCTCTTGACATCACTATATTCATGACATTATATGAACTTCAGTTGTTTGTTAATGAGATCACTTCCATTTTCATTTACCAAGCCACGAAAAACTAGAGGAATAATTTTACATCAAACATTTTTTAAACAGCAAACTGCTGCAAACAGAGCTTTCTTAGTCTTGTTTTCCATGAAAAGGAAAAGTTGATTAGATAGAGATATGGTAAGACAGGAACTAAAAAAAAAGCCCAGCACAGAAACAAGGAACTCATTTGTACACAAGAAGACCACTGTGGATTATTTTATGAATACCCCAGCAGCATTACAAATCTGGTGTATGTGATATCAACAGCAGCCACGTGAGGCCGAAGTTGAGCATTACTTGTTTGTCTAAAAATACTTGTTCTATTGAACCGTGAGTGTAAGATATAAAGACATGATCAACTTGTTAGAGTCAGATTAACAGTAAATAAGGATATAAAAGATATGTATGTATTCTCACACAAAATTGCATACACATACGTCATTCTACTGAATGATCTAGCTAAACTTTACCTTTTATTGACACCAGCAAACCATACATACATAATAAATGCCAAGAGAGCAAACTGGGTACTTAGATAAACCTTTCATTCAAGGAGTCATTAAACATGTCATGGAGTGTTATCAAAATCCACATAATTAAGGAGAAATAACTACAATAATCTAAAGATGACAACATAAGCCCATTGTATTTCCATGTTACAAACGCAACTTATTTCCTTCTTTTTCCTTAATTATAGGTTTAAAGATGTAAAGCAGCAAAATTAACATTCCTGCTTATCTGTCATATATCAACAAACTGTATTCAAAGACACATTTTAATTCTTTAAAATCTGTTATCAAGCAACAATTTACTCCAGCATGTATTTGAGTAACAGATCTAAAGACCCCAGAGACCGCGACAGCTGCAAAGGAGTCTAAGAATTTTCACCTTAACTGATGAACTTTGCCACATCTAATGAATAATTCTAACTAATTTTGCAGAGTTAAAAGGGTAAGAGAAGGTAAAAAACTGTCAGTGGCATAATGCATTGGGGGCGGCTGTGGACTGACTCGAGGGATGGTAGAGCGTAACAATGTTTAAACGGTTATGCACACTATAGTCTTTCACATGTTTCAAGGCAGACAACAGACACTAAAATCTGTCCTAGCCCACCCCTGGATGTGAAGAGGCAGTCTGTAAGTCACATACAAGAAAACATAATAATAATAATAATTTTGTAAAAAATAATACTGACGTTCCAGAGTTCTATACAATTTCTTTTTGGTGCAAATGGGCTTTGTCTTTGTCTATTTGGGGCATATAGAGTTATTGCAAATAAAACTGTATTTTCACATTAAGTTGAACACGACCTGTCTGAAAAAACAGAATTCAAGACAAAAAATTGGATTTTATGCAAACCTGATCACACTTCTCTAACAGTGAGGGGGAAAAAAAAGGAAAAGCTCCAATTTATAAGACAACTTGGCACACACAAAATATAATTTTGCTGAGAGGGTTTGGAAGAAAGGCAAGGTAAAAATAATTCTTTTTCATAGCTTCGAAACTTCTAAAAAGTAAAGGGGTGGGGGCGCGGCAGGAACATTTAGTGCAACAAGCTTCATTGAAATAAAATCTTCTGGGTAGGGAAAATGAATGCAACATTTCTGTGTCTTATGTGTGGAACACAAAACTCTCTAACTGTATAAAACAGATTAACAGAAGTCCCCTTCAAAGAACAAGTTACCAGCATATTTTAGAAGCAGGACATTTGGTGGGGGGGGGGGGGGGGGGGGGGGGGGATATCTTGCAAACATACCTGGAATTTGCAATGGCACAAGAAGTTTATCTATACATATATTTCTGATCAATGATGACAGGCAGTGACTAAAGACCACCAATCTCGGTGCAATAAAATTACAACTCTCCTTTCTGCTTTATATAATCAACAAAGAATCCCCAAGTCTGACAAAGGTTACTATCAGTGCCGGGCGGTACCGGCGAAACAGAGTGCCGGTTCTTTCCAGGAACTGGGAGTGAAACTAGGAGGTGAGAGACTGTGCATTTCGCGCTATGATCAGCGCCACCCGCATCCCCCCACAAGTCAAAATTGGGAGAAGCGAGCTGTGACACAAAATCCCTTTGAAATTTGCCGCCACAGGGGATTAAACTTTGCAAGCAGAAATTTAAAAATAATTATCGCCGCTAAAAATAGATTTAATTTTCTAAATCAGCGTATCAAAATAGGCTAAGTGGCTCATCTGATTTGATGCCATATTTAAACTTGAGCAAACTTCATTTTTGATTGTCAATGTTGAATCAAAGTCAATTATCAAAGTCACCAGCTGCATTGTGCATCTGACGTCACTGCTGTACGCTTAAGCCGACACTCTGCACACTTCCCGAGGCCCGTTAAACACTGTTGGTGTCTCTACTGACACTTCCTCCGATACAACCGGGAGTTCCGGTACTGGGTGCTGGTACCTGCCCATCCCTAGTTACTATCCCATGCCCCCTTAGACCCCCCCCTAGTCATCAAACAGTCTCAAATGGGTCAGACCAGACAACTCATATCTTAAATTAATAACAGGCACAGACTGACCCTTGTGACCATTCCACAACCCGCCAAACCATTTCTCCTACCATCTTCAGGAATTCATTTTGGAGTAAACCTCAAATTTTGGAAAGATCAGACAACGGAGTTCAAAACAGTCAAATGGGCACACATTTTCAGGTCAGGTATAGGTGGGTGGAGGTTAAAAAAAAAAGGAAATAGAAAAAACAAAACACAATGGATTTCAAATGCAAGAGGGCAAAAATATTGAAGTGCATGAATGTAGAGCCCCCGTTAATTATTTAATTTGAATCAATTGTTGAAATTTCTGTTCAATCGTGGGAAAGAAACGTAAACCTCATCTTGCAACAAACTATCTGGCTTCTATGGGGAATTAAACAATATTTTCATTTCTCTCAACCTGTTCACTGCCTGGCCTGTGATACAGTCCTATCTTACACCTTGAGGCAGTCTTCAGGAAGGCAGTGACATGGTTAACATCTTTAAAACCTAAAATGATTTCTTATGCCGACTAGTTCGAAAGGGGGTGGACTGCTGAAAGGCTTGAGGAAGAAATGCACGCATCACTGACCTCTTCCCTGGCCCGTAGCCTCGCCTCCTGGCCCAACAAGGGTTCCTTATAGTACATAGGGTAAAGTCACCACAATTGTCAAGAAAAAAGGGCATCTGCCACAATCAACTATCAGCCCACTCTTGCTAGCCTAAAGTGCAAAAGAATGATCAGCTGATCACTGCATGTTGCTCGTTTACAGAAAAAAAAAAGTCACAAACTCATGGAAAGAAACATATTATAATTCTGCAGATCTCTATCAATCATCTGCCTTTTGCACTTCATCTATTGAGTCAAATTTTGTTGTGTTCGCAAAGAAAATATTAAAGTCACAACATACGAACAAACCACATCTACTTCTAAATTAGAAAATTGAAATATTTTTGGTTGGAAAAAAAAAAAAAAAAGAATTTCTTTAAAACCGCAGAAACGAGCCATTATCAATTTCAGAGTCAACATGCAAGTCAGTTTTGACCACTTTTTCACCCACTTTCAGGCTGGCCTATGATCCTTTTACGGAAACCCCTCCCACATCTCTGGGACAAACATCTGAAAGCTGAGGTGACCACAAAAAAACAACAAGGGTTCCAAACCATTGCACTGACCTCTCCTATGTCAACATGGGCCTCTGTGCCATCCGTCACGGGATAGTCTGACTAATAATCACATATTTTGGGACATTCACTGATTTTTTCACTTTATTTTCATAAGGTATAAATGATCTCATGCATTTTGTACAAAAAGAACAAGCATGTAGCAATTTGTAAGGATTGTGAAACCCAAACTTCAGATGCACATGCCTAAAAAGAAAAAAAGGACGGAAAACAAACATCTGTTTTCATTAAATTCTTTGACCTCTATTTTCTAAAACTATCTACAAAATAAATACAAAAGACTTCATATCCACATGAAAAACATGATGTTAGTAGGACGTAGGAAATAAAGATTCATTATCAAAATCTCTTCTGTGGCAACATGATTGTTAACATTACTATGTGACAAAAATCCCACCTCTTGACGTTTTTGTAGCTCACTGGTGTCCACTTTTTGAGCAGATGATTGGCTGTAAGGTGGGGGGTCCTCTGATGGGGTCATAATGGCTGGCTGGGCAGTAGCAGACCGAGGAGGAGGGACACCGGCGCTCTGTATTAGTCATGTAAATATATGAAATTAAAAAACATTCAAACTAAGTTGGTACCAATAAATCAATATTACTAAGTAATAAAATGTATACCAATATGAATAGAATTTAAATGCCTTTCTTTGATTTTTCTGCAAAGGAAACAGTTTATCTTTAAGTACTTGTTTTCCTTTTCACCAAAACAATGCTGAACCCCCCACACACAAGGGTGTGTCTGACACATGATATGTAAATAAAATAAGGTCATTTTTTCCATGATCCATTAAACTCCTGGCACCCTTCTCATCTTGCAAATTAAGTATTTCTATGACCATCCTATTAACAGGTACTATCAGAATACTGATTTATGCATTTAGCATCATGAACACCATTCATTATTGTTAACAATAATTGTTCCTGTATTTCACTTACCTGTTGCCTGAGACTATGGGTCTATTTGTGAATGTAAGTATATTTTAAGTGTGTTTGTGTATATGTGTGAAGGAAGAGAGGATGTGTGAGTGAATTTGTACGGGTGTAGGTGCCTGCATATGTGTGTGTGTGTGTGGTGAACACCAAACCAATATGCCAGCGTCTGGAAAATAAAGATTTATCTTATATACCTTATAATATAATTACAATTACTTGACAAGAGAATGAATGCAGTGAAGGTCATGGCGGCTTCAGGAATGGAACAAAGGCTACTGCTTCTTACGTATCAGCAGCTGGTCTTAGCAGAAATCGATTTTATGGGTTCGGAGTATTGACCTTGACAAAAACCCAACTGGACAAGTTGGATCGAGTTCAAAATGAAGCCATGTGCATGATACTAGGCTGCCCCAGGGATACGCCAATTATCTGTATGAGGCATGCATTGGGCCTCATGTCAGTAGAAAACAGACACAAAGTGGCTCGGGTCAGGGCGTACATGAGGGCGGCGGCTGATAAGCAACACCCACTTCACGAAGCAATTGTAGCAATCAAGGGAAATCGCCTAAAACGAGGAGCTCCTTGGATGGCCGGGGATGAAAACACCATCAAGGAAGTCTGCTCACTGGAAGATATAAAGCGGGGTGAAGAATGGATAAAGATGAATGAGGGACAGCAGGGAGATTTTGGGAAGGTAGTGATTACGCTGAACAGAGAATGTAGAGAGGGGCCGCAGGGGGCAACAGATGCTGAGATACACGACAACTGATTGAAGACAACTCACTGCATGGAGATGTGGTTGTATACACGGATGGATCTGCTAAACGAGGGGAAAAATCTGGATGGGGCTTCTCAGCAAAGATTGAGTGGTAGATTGGTGCAGGAACAGCAGAGAGCATACAATATGACAACATCTAGCATGAGAATGGAGATAGAGGCAATCACTCACTCTCTCACATGGCTTACAACAACTCGACAAGCACACGTGATCTTTGTCAGACTCTCATAACACTCTGAAGAAGATTGAAAGTGAAAACTGGGAACCTTAGAGCTGAATGGACAGACCTCCTGAAGAAGACGACACTGAAAAAGATCATGTGGATCTTCACCCCAGGCCATGCTGGAGTCAAGGGCAATGAGCGGGCTGATGAGATAGAGGGGAAAGCAAAACCTGAAAGAAAGCTGTGCCCTGACAAACCTGAAATTGTGCGTTCAGTCAGGGAAAAACGAGAAAAAGAACAAGAAGAGTCAAAATACCATCATCTTGAGTGACTTCGTGAGCTTGGAATTGGGATGGGGTGCCTGCAGAAGATCAAGACTTAGTGAGAGGAGCAGAAGGCTATGGAATCAAACATTGCTTGGGAACCGTCAGCATCTACACACTTCAAGATGTGTGCTTCTTCAGGGGACAGAGCGCTTATGGGAATGCCCCTTGATGTCGGTCCTTCACACAAGTAACAAGAGAATACAAGTTCACCTGATTGGCAGGGCGGGTCTGATTCCCCCCTTCAGCAAATGGGTTGTAGTCATCTAGTGCACCTTGTCTTGGGGCTCCAGACCCTGCAGCTTGCTGTACTGACGGGTCCTGGAAAGAAGAAAATATGATTTAAAAGTTTTTCCAGTCAAACAACTGTTCCATGGTAGTTGAAGAAAATACCTGACCTTGTTCAATTTCAAATAGATTTTCTGAGCATCAAGATACAGGGAGGCTCATTTTTCAACTTTCAATGTAAAAATATTTACCATGTGTTCAACACAGAAAAAAAAAATCCAGTAAGAGCAGTGATAAACAACTTTTAATGGATGTCATTAATGCTTATAACAATTCAAACATTTGATAAAATGAGGAAAATTTTCCAGATGTAAATCAATTTCTTGCAACTGTAGCATCACAGCAACTGCAACAATAGTATCCAACAAAGAAGGCATTAGCCTAAAACTATATCAAGTTCTATAAAGCCCTCTTTCAAACATCTGAGCTGCAGGTGTTAAAAATAAAGGCCAACTGTTTGTGTCACTGGTCTTAATGAATTTAAACCTTTTCTTTTGCCGAAAAAAGTGATACTATTATTAATCAGCCTACAGTCAAACTCGGATATAACAGGACAAACGGAATCAGCAGTTTTCCCCCCGTTATAAATAGGGAGTCCTGTTATTACCATTATCACGGGAAACTACTAGTACTATTGCACCTTCAGGTAACTATATATTCGATTACCTCAGATCCTTTTCAAGTGGGCTATTTTGCTGACACTGAGATGGAATCGATCAGTGACCCCAACACTATCACTATAGACAGCCACCCATTGTCGAGAGAAAGCAGATTTTTTTTAGACAGGTGGACAACTTGGACAGTGTCATCATATTTTAAAAAACGCAAGGGTGGACATGGGAAGCGGTCATTTGTACAGGTGATTGTCTTAGACAGGTGGCTGTTAGAGCAGGTTTGACTGTACTTGCTTTTCACAAGGCCAAACCACTTTGAAGGCATGACATAATTAGGGCATTTAGACAACAGAAAGTGGCACATGATTATATGATTTGGTAAAATAGGAAAATTATTAGGCCTTTAATAAAATAATAACAACGGTTCACTATTTTTATTTACCTGACTAAGTATTGATCGGCTGTGGCGGCGTGGCATTTTTGGCGGGTTACTTCCGGTAAACCGCTGAACGCTTCTAGGATGCCCCACCGCCACAGCTAATCGGTTGTAAACATGGAGGTTTGGCGGGATCAGCTGAGATACCCGAGATGTATACAGAAAAATGACCATTTACGGCTCAACAGATGATAAAAGGCATATAAATAAAGCCATATATTTTCTTAAAGCTGATAGAAAGAGCCAATAAAAAATGATTAGCGTGTAGTCGCTCAGCTGGACCGCTCCACTTTATCAATCGATATCTTGGCCAAGAGATGCTCTGCGAGGTCAAGACTTGCAAAGTCAGTGGTCACTATTTATAACTTTGACCTGTAATTTACTATGTCCTTTTCCATATAAGGAATACTGGAATTTTCCATTGAAAAAGGTCAGCGTCTATGTCCTTTACATAGGGCCTGCGCGCTTCCTGGTCGAAGTAGGTCAGCCCTATACATAGGGCCTGCACGCTTTCCGGGTAGCCCGGCTCATGCCCTTTATATACAGGGCCTGCGCGTTTCCTGGGTTAAAGTGGGGAGCGGCTGGTAACGGGGGACCGAACTCTAGATCTAGATTTACATTCTAAAAACTTTTCATGAGCGTTTTTTCCGCAAAATCCAAAAAATATTTTAAAAAGAGAAACGCCGAGCGTATCAAACTAGAATCTAGTCAAGGCCACCTCTATTCTCACCCCGGGTGAGAATAGCGCAGGCGAGTCTTTTGGCCATTCTCACCCGGTGTGCGTTCACCGCTATAGCCTAGATCTAGATCTAGGCCAAGCCAACCAATTTTGCCTTCACCCTAACCACAGAATTCTACACTGTGATAACAGAAAAATTGTAGAATTCTGTGCCGTGAACAAACGTTCCATTACTATGATTACTACTGTTAACCTACTAAAAGCGTACAATTTTGTCTGTGGGCAGTGGAGAGAGAGAAAGAGAGAGAGAGAGAGAGGAGTAGCGCGAGAATTTCCGGGCAAAACAAAATGGCGACCCGCGTAGTTCGGCTCGATTCGAAAAGTTAAATTTTATAGCCGTAGCATCTTTGTAGACGACAAAATTAATTTACTTTTGTGTTTTAACATCATTTTAAAACTTTGTTTTGGTCAATTTGATCGTCCACACCGAAAGACAGTATTCAGAAAGAGACAGAGAGAGAGAAGGGGGGAGGAGTAGATCTTGCGAGAACTTCCGGACAAAACAAAATGGTGACCCCTCAGCCCTGTAGTTCGGCTCGATTCGAAAAGTGAAATAGCCATAGCATCTTTGTAGTCGATAAGGAAGTGGTTATTCTCATCCGAGGTGAGAATAGAAAAACGATCTACCTCTCACCCCGGGTGAGACGTGCCAGCGTAGGCTATTCTCACCCGGTGCGAAACAAGACCTGCTTTTCCTCATTTTGGAATACTGTCTATCGGTGTGGATGATCAGATTGATAAAAGCCAAGAAAAAATTACGTTATAGCACAAAAGTAAGCTAATTTGATCGTCTTCAAAGATGCTATGGCTATTTCATTGTTCGAATCGAGCCGAACTATGCGGGTTGCCATTTTGTTTTGCCCGGAAGTTCTCGCAAGATCTACTCCTCCCCTCTCTCTGTCTCTTTCTGAATACTGTCTATCGGTGTGGACGATCAAATTGACCAAAACAAAGTTAAAAAATGATGTTAAAACACAAAGGTCAAAAGTAAATTAATTTGGTTGTCTACAAAGATGCTACGGCTATTTAACTTTTCGAATCGAGCCGAACTACGCGGGTCGCCATTTTGTTTTGACCGAAAGTTCTCGCGCTACTCCTCTCTCTGTCTCTTTCTCTCCACTGCCCACATACAAAATTGTACGCTTTTAGTAGGCTACAGTTGTAATGGAACGTTTGTTCACGGCACAGAATTCTACAGTTTTTCTGTTATCACAGTGTAGAATTCTGTGGTTTAGGGTGAAAGCAAAATTTGTTGGCCTAGATCTAGGCTATAACGGTAAACGCGCACCGGGTGAGAATAGCCAAAAGACTAGCCTGCACTATTCTCATCCCGGGTGAGAATAGAGGTGGCCAGTCGATAAAATTAGCTTACTTTCGTGCTATAACGTAATCTTTGCTTTGCCTTTATCCATTTGATCATGAAAGTGGCTATTCTCACCCGCCGGAAGTTCTCGCAAGATCAACTCCTCCCCTCTTCTCTCTCTCTCTGTTTCTTTCTGAATACTGTCTATCGGTGTGGACGATCAAATTGACCAAAACAAAGTTAAAAAATGATGTTAAAACACAAAAGTAAATTAATTTGGTTGTCTACAAAGATGCTACGGCTATTTAACTTTTCGAATCGAGCCGAACTACGCGGGTCGCCATTTTGTTTTGCCCGGAAATTCTCGCGCTACTCCTCTCTCTCTTTCTCTCTCCACTGCCCACAGACAAAATTGTACGCTTTTAGTAGGCTACAGTTGTAATGGAACGTTTGTTCACGGCACAGAATTCTACAATTTTTCTGTTATCACAGTGTAGAATTCTGTGGTTTAGGGTGAACGCAAAATTTGGTGAACGCGTGTCTGTGGGCAGTGGAGAGAGAGAAAGAGAGAGAGAGAGAGAGGAGTAGCGCGAGAATTTCCGGGCAAAACAAAATGGCGACCCGCGTAGTTCGGCTCGATTCGAAAAGTTAAATAGCCGTAGCATCTTTGTAGACAACCAAATTAATTTACTTTTGTGTTTTAACATCATTTTTTAACTTTGTTTTGGTCAATTTGATCGTCCACACCGATAGACAGTATTCAGAAAGAGACAGAGAGAGAGAGAAGAGGGGAGGAGTAGATCTTGCGAGAACTTCCGGGCGGGTGAGAATAGCCACTTTCATTCTCACTCCGGGTGAGAATAGAGGTGGCCTTTGATCATCCACATCGAAAGAAAGTATTCCGAAATTAGGAAAAACAGGTCTTGTTTCACACCGGGTGAGAATAGCCTACGGTGGCAAGTCTCACCCAGAGCCCAGAGAGTGAGAGGTCGATCGTATTTCTATTCTCACCCCAGGTGAGAATAGCCACTTCCTCTAGTCAAACCCTACCCCAGAGCGTCCAATATCTTCCAATTTGAAACTGGATCACAATAGATAGGCCTAGACCATTAAAGAAGGAATCCACATGCATGCCACTATCCCAGCCCTGTACTGTTGCTGACTGCTGTCAATTGCAACCCCACCCCTTCAATCTTGCCACTCTGCTGTGTTCTTTGAGCCCACTGAACTGTACTTAGTAAGTGATGCCAATCCTTCAGCTTCCATACCACAAAAACGTTGTAGGGTAATAAGAACCATAGTAATACCCGCCTCTTCTTGTTGTCAAAGCACACACCTCTCGACCGGTAAAAGAGTGAGTGGGATCAAGACAACTTTAACTTTAGTCAAAGGTACCTCTGCCTCTTATATTTTTTCTACACATAGCATAGCACAGCGACGTTGCGATGAATTCTCCTCGACTCCGGACGTCTAGATTTCTAGACATTGTATGTGTCGTGAATAAGAACGACATTACAATTGAACTCCCTTACCGAAAATGGACTCGAAGCATTTGGATCCGCAAAAGGGTTGGAATCAAAGTCGGACATTTTGAGGTGTCCTGTGAGGTTCCACAGTAGTCAAATATTGATTCTGATCAGGAACAGGGCGATTCACTCCATAAACATACTCGGCGGAAATCAATATGACGCATGCGCACAAGTCATGGTCACATGAAATGACGTCATGTCTTTTTCGTGAGATTCAAAACTGTCATAAGTTTATTATTAGAAGCGGTTATATTCTTTGCCCTAGATGATCATTCCGATGTATTTTTCACAGCAATCAATTTGATTTGAAAAATTTGATTAGATACAGAACATTTTTTTCTTTTATAACAAAATCTTCGAACTTGTTGTTTGCTCAATACAAATGCCAACTGGCAATGTTGGTTAGACTACAAGTACGGCACGGTTAATTATGTTCCGTTGGTTGTGGAACCGATTGTCAAAGAGGTTATTATAAGTTAAATTTATTGTAATCATTTGTTTGTTTTGTTTTGTTTAGTATAGGGTTTTACGGCGCTCGCAACTGCATAAGGTCATATGAGCGCGCGGGACACACCTAATACTTTTTTTGGTAGGAAATTTTGAATTTTGCCCGGGTGGCGGCCGAAGCCTACTCTTATCGATTTTAGACCACCAAGGGATCTTTAACGTGCGCAACTTGCACACGGGCCCTCCGAGATTTCTCGCCCTTGTCCGAGAAGGCTAGGTGTAGATCTTTCCTACCAGAAGATCAGGGGTGTGGCAGAAAGACAGCTGTAAGAAAGAGTCAAGGAGTAGCAGTAGAAAGGCTGCAGAAAGAGTCAGGAGCCCAGAGGATGGGGCAGAGGGGGTGGGGGCAGAAAGAGGAGACGAAAGCAGACGACAGAATATTGCAAGAGAGCAGGAAAGGAGGTGAAAGGAGACAATTTTAGAGAAGAAATTTTTTTAATTTTTCTGTCGCTACCCGGATTCGAATCCGGGACCTTTGAATGAGAGGCCGACACCTTAACCTCTAGGCCACGAGAGCCCCCCTGTAATCATTTGTACTCTATTTGTAACCTCTGATACTAATGTGTGGAAGAGAGAGTCACACGGCTGCTGTTTTTTTATTGCTTGTTAAGTTTCGGTTGCCTGTTTGTTTATTCATTTGTTCGTGTTTTTGTCAATGTGTATTTAGATCTAGATGTGGAAGTAAAGTTGAATTATACCTTGATAATAATCTACACAGGCGTGCTTACAAGTTGAAATGGGTACCGTATAGGCCTAGTTGAATCAAGGGTGCATAAGATTTAGTTTAACATTTATAGTTTAATTACGTGGGTAGAGTTCGTACTCTGGTGCGTGGCCAGTACTTCAAAAGGGTTCATTATACTTAGCTTCCGTCAGGAACCAAATTCACGTTTGTATTTTTTATTCATGGTCCAAGAGTCTGTATTTAATTAAAAACCTGGTTCTCTTAAACATTTCCAAGACAGTTAACGTATTAAGTTGTGTTAAATCAATTTCAGTTACTTAATTAATAACCTATAATCTACAGGAGAAAGTTGTACACCTTCTGAAAATATAGCCTACATTAATCTGCAAACATCAGCTGATAAAAGCAACTTAAACGCTTTCGGTGCGCATCTTTTATGCTGACAGCACCCCTTATTCTACTTACAATGGAGCGATGGGAATACTTGCGATAAATGCGTCACAATGACGTGTTTTTGCAGTGGTCTAATGAATACATTTAGGCCTAATCACATGCACACATACCCACACACTCATGGAGAGAGAAAGAGAGAGAGAGAGAGAGAGAGAGAGAGAAAGAAAGAGAGAGAGAGAGAGAGAGGGGGGGGGCAGAGAGTGAGAGAGAGAGAGAGGGACAGAGAGTGAGTGTGTGTGTGTGTGTGTGTGTGTGTGTGTGTGTGTGAGAGAGAGAGAGAGAGAGAGAGAGAGAGAGAGAGAGAGAGAGAGAGATTGGTAGAGCACAGCCGAGAGAGAGAGAGAGAGGGGGTAAGTTATACAAGTCTTACGGAGAGAGAGAGAGAGAGAGAGAGAGAGAGAGAGAGAGAGAGAGAGAGAGAGAGAGAGAGAGAGAGAGAGAGAGAGAGAGAGAGAGAGAAATTGTTTGATGATTACAAATGTATTCGAATTCGGAGCTGTAGTGTCATAGCCTAAAACATAATTACATGTATTTCTCTGCTTTCCTGAGAGGGCAACATGATCAGGAGGTATAACGGTTTCGAGTTTTGTAAATAACTTTTGTAGGCGAGCCAGTCCATCTGTCTTCCTTCTTTGCACCCCTCCACCCCGCATGCTGAGCCTCGAGATCTCTGAAAGAACGAGTCTTTTAAAGCTGTCCATAAATACATGTATTATAGTTCTATAGGCTATGAGTATAGTAGTCCTTGGCATAGGCCTACCGATGGTGCAGGGCAAAAATTCTGCGCTTGATTATTGTGGTTCATAGATGCTGTGGCAACAATTATGACACCGATCACTGCTTATGTAATTTAAATTGTATTTCTCACAGGTCGCAGGCAGATACATTTTGCCTTTTTATGGCGAGGCCTATCCTTGACAAATTAAATATAACAAAAGAAGGAATGTGGTAGCAACTTTGAAATTGTTCTTAATCTAGTATGCAGCGAAGAAAAAATTCGGATTTTGTAAAGAAAAAAACATACAAATAATAGATCTAATATCAGTTCAATAACACCTAGCATCTGTGGTGTAGCGGTTTGGCGCTTCGCTGTCTCACATTGGAGACCCCAGTTCGATTCCTAGACGGGGTAATTTTTAACATCTCAGTCTTTCTGCTTGGACATTGTATCCCTCTCAACCCGGGTAGGCCCTGACAGATAGAGTTGGAAACCCGCCTTCTAACTGATCTAAATTGGGTCGTTAAAACATCTAGGGTCTTCATTGAAAAAAAAATTCAACTAGATTCTAGGCCTAGGCTATAAAACGGAATCATCGTTTAGGCCTATTCAGAGAACTACGTGGCTGGAAGATGTAAAACATAGCTCTATCTCGTGTCTTCCGGTGAAACGAAGAGCCACTGCTCAAGCTCCACTCCCAACTCCCAAGCGAAACTTCCGCTGGATCCTTACGAGAAGGCGTTGACCATCTTGAGCGTCTACAGTCTACTCTGCCTTCAAGACAGATTGTTTACCTTCTATTTTCTTTTTCTTTGGTGATCTGGTAAGCGAACATCAACGCTGAGGACCTAAAGCTTCGAAAAAGATGGCAGGAAACGGTGGGTTTCAAGCATCGTCATATGCAAATGACAGACCACCGAGCTCGACCGGCAGTGGGGATGGGGATATGAGTGCTGACCCCGCAAGCAGTGGCTTTTTCACAACTGATTTTAAGAAGTGAGTAGATCTATTGAAAAAAATCATCAAATGAAAAGGATTTCATATCTAAAGGCACGTGATATGAAGACTTTCCACTTGGTCCATTCTACATTGGAAGTAACTGAATAGAAAGAGGTTAGAGTTAGATCGCCTGAGCCTGATGCCTGATGTTGTTTTGATCTGTTCATGGCTCTGTTGTCATATTATGATTTCTAGTTAGGCGTTAATTATGAGCTTTAGTCAGACCACTTTTGTGACATTCTCATTCAGGGAAAAATCCCTATCCATGTCAATGGTAACTTCAAGTCCAGATACTGCTGCACACATCGGATTTAGTGCAACTTTTCATTTTCACTGTGATTATTCTCACTGGGGGTGAGGATAAACTGGATATATTATTCTCACCCTGGGTGAGAAGAAAATTGATACTATTCTCACCCTGGGTGAGAATAACGACAGTCTACTATTCTCTCCCGGTTTTTTAGTTTCGGGCATCATAGGACCTCTGTCAATGAGGGCTCCAGGCGACAAAACTCATCTCCCTCTCTCTCTCCGCTGAGCGCGTGGCGACTAAAATCGCCAACTGGTGGGCCAGCTCTCGAGTGGGGTAGGCGACTATTGTCGATTTGGGGGAAAACCTTATCTTTTGAGCAAATAACGTCACCTTTTGTTGCTACAGTATTAACTCTTATCCTGCGTCTGTGCCCAGATGCGTATCTTATCAGCAACCGATTACGTCGGACTCGCCGGGCAGGCCGCCGGGGTCACTCAGTGTGTACTGTTGGTGTACAGCGCGCGCGCCGGGAAACGGGTGTTTTCGCCATGAATACTGCGGGAGTGTGTTAACTGATGATGAAAATAACGCTCTATCCTTCATAGCATTCTATTTATAAAGTGTTACAAACACATGAAAAACCCCCTCTCACAAGCTGATAAGACATTACGAGTAGTTACGCCCATTTGAATAACCTTTCTGGACGCTCTTGTTGTTATGAATGGCCTGAGGTTCGAAAAGGGATAATTTAGGTCAATTTCCGAATGTTTTACACTCAAATTGTTCTTTGTACCTGCACAAGGGTATTCAAAACTATTAAACAAGCTCATCTTTTATCAGGTAGTATCATTTCATACAAAATCAAGCTCATTTGAAATATTTTGTATAGAAAAATGGAAGTCTTGTTTCCTGACTATCCTTTCGAGCTCCTCATGTCTAAGAGGGTCAATTTCTTCTATAATTTCATTGGACGAACATCTAGAGCTATCAACTTGGCATGTTTTGAATGAGACGTATGCCTCGATTACGAACCAACGCAGGTGGTTCTAGAAGAAGGCCACAAACGCACACAAACTCAAGCAGACTGACGCACTCACACTTGACCTGCGTGAATGGGGATCCGACTCGGGACCCGAATGACACGTAAGAGGATGCGCGCTGCGCGTGCGCTGAGCCAGGAGCTACACTGACTCGGGACCAGAACGCAGGCGAGGTGCCGAAATAGGCTTATCGGGCTACATAAACCCGGCTCCCGCAGGATGAGGGTTAATGTATTGGTTCTGTAATGGAAAATTTTACTCTTGAATAGTTTAACCAATCAAAATTAAGAAACAAAATATGCCTATGGTTAAGGCACTGCGTTTCTTAATTAAAAAAATAATTGTGGGTTCTGCTAGGGATAACAATTAAACATGTTTTTTCTGTTGTAAACAACAAATGCCAATTCTAACATTGCAATGACAAACTATTACTAACATTATTTCATTAAATATATAGCTTTCAGTTAGAAGGCTATTATTTTTAAAAACATACTCTACTCTGGCAAGTGAATTTAGAAAATATTTACACTTGTCTAAGGTTTTGGTGAAGATATTCGTGCATACTCTCAACTCAAGATTTAAACAAATGAAACAGTAACAATCCCCGCGGGAGCCTAGAAAAATCGGCCAGCGCTCTGGGGCAGGTCACGAACGGTCACTCTCTTACAATTCACAAATAATTTTCCATCATCCGTTCTCAACACCCTGGTAGACCAAAAAAAATCCATTGCATTCTCAGACTGGGTGAGAATAATATTCATTTTATTCTCACCCGGCTAGTCCAGTGTGGCCTGGAATTCACCGTAAGTAGATGTAACATTTGGAGCGCTGACAGAGGGTGTGCAGACGCTGCCAGATTGAACACGCCACCTTTTCCGATTGGTTGGCGGGGCCGTATGAGAGGCGCATGACTACTGACCTGGAATCAGTGTATACGTGAATGCGTACGCTGTTCGAGAGACTGCCTGCTGTATGTAGTGAATCAAGCATGCCCAGCGCTGTGTAGAGAGCTACAAGCTTGGCCCTGAAGCTGGAACAATATCGGCCTGCGGATACACGGTGGTCGAGTTTGGTATCACCAGTCTTGATCAGTATTCTGCTGCCTCCATACTCGGGACCGTGTTTAGCTGAACCATCAGTCCAGACTTCTACATCGGGCAGGGGGAGCGATCAAGTGGTAGCCTCTGCTGCTGCTTTCCTGACGACTGGTTTATTAGCATGCTTGCAGTCGACAACGAGATCGGTGCTAAAGGTCACGTTGCATGATGCAGCCTTCCACAGTTGTGTGTGTGTGTGTGTGTGGGGGGAGGGGGTAAAACAAACTAGCTCCTCACGTGGGTACATACCTAGTTCAGTTTCACCTACGAAGTTCTGGGCATGCTTTCTACTGCTCAACTTGCCTGTCTGCATGGGCACTGATTTTGTTGCGGAGGCTCTGCATTAGATTCGTTGCTGGCATACGCATGGGCTTCTCGAGTGAAATAGCGGTCAAGGCATCAGCTCTATGCCTTAGTGGTAGAATGTCTGCTTCAATGAGGAGGCTGTCTACACAAGTATCCTTCGAGCAGCCTGTGATGATTCTCGCTACTTCATTCTGCTTTCGTTCTGAATTAGATGGTGGTAATGATGTGGACTACCTCGAGTGGGATGTGGAATGTGATTCTAAGGATGGTATCATGAATGAAGAGGTGAATCACTCAGGAGCTATGAGCAGGGCATGTTAGCCTCAGGTCAGGGCTCAAAGGTTAAGAAGCTATATTTTCTCAGATCAACCCAAAGACACGTATGGAGTTATAATACTTAAATTTTTCTTTTTTTTTTTTTACCTGCTTTTTTATGTATTAGAGAACATTTACAGAAATATAAGTCGCTTGCGAGTTACAAACTTATAATGTTTTAGTTCTGTTGATTAATGGTTTTCAACTGTTCTAGTGTCATACATATTGAGCAGATCATGTGGAATGTTTATCCAGTAGCCTTTTAGATTTCTCATTAAAAAATACAGGTCCATGCATCCCTTACCCTAACAAGACTCTCAATCCCAAGCACTAGCTCTGATCTCTAACATCCTTTTAATGTCTTTCATCTCTTACCCCTAACCCAGTACTGCTTAAAAAGCCAGCTAGCTGTAAATTGTTCCTTCCTGTTTTTTTTTTTCTCCTAGACATGAAGACCTGAAGACGATGTTGGACAGCAACAAAGACAGTCTCAAGCTTGAGGCTATGAAAAGAATTATCGGGGTAATGTATCTTGAAATGTGTTATTAATTCTTTGTTTTTTCTTTGTTTTTTAAATGCTAGCTTTATTATTTCTGTTCTGCAGAGAGGGAGGGAGGGAGGTTTACTTTTTATTGCCAAGCCAAGTTGTTGTAGTTACAGAGGTCATTACTGAGACTATTTAATGTATATGTGCTTTGCAGCTTTAAATCTGTTTGAAATTGAGTTCTTAATTTTAAAAAAAGTTAATGAAGAAAATTTGACTGGCTGTCATCTTGAATTTTAAGGTCCATGCACATATAATTATATCTTTGTATGAAATCTTTTGTCTCAGGGAGCAGTGACAATGAACTCTGGATAGGTACTTGAGTACCATGTATACTTGTGTATAGGTCGCAACTTTTCATTTCTGCCTCCCCCAAAAATTAGGTGAGCCGTATCCACCGGATACAATGAAAGGAGAGTGCTAACAGGCGTCTATTATAGAAGTGTACGGGTCATATATATCGATCTTGGCAGTCTCGATTGGGACAAAATCAAGATTTATTTTCACTTTTGTTGCTATGAAGAATTTTGCAGTAATGACATGCAGCTTGTGCATCATATATATATACAGTCGAACCTGCGTAAGACGGAATCGCAAGGGAGCCAGAAAAAAATTCCGTCTTAGACAGGGGAATTTAGGGGGAGATGGAGGTGGGGGGGGGGGGGGTTCAAAGGTCCAGCCGGTGGGATCAAGGATCGCTTGTCCGATCGGCAAGCAGTGGTCAAAACTTCACACCTCAATTGCTATGCTGTCTGATGATGACATGCATCAACATACGTATCCAATTACCACCAGTGCTTGCCTTTCATAGGACCACTGTTTGACCTATTAAATACAGAAACGTTTGAACATCTCCCTTCTTCCATCCTTAGCCCCACCCACCATTGCCACCCCTTACTGCCATCATTGTAACAACGATTCAACGCACTCTTTTCTCGGCTGGCCGTACGATCAGGGCGGCAGGCATTGGTCAATCTAATTTCACACCTCTGGTTTCTGGACTGATGAAAGTTTCCGTAGTGGCTCGCTACTCAAGCACTCTCACGGGTAGTCGTGAGATTTAACACCCACACTACACTGACCATCTGCATCGCTCAGGGCTCACATGATGGGGTAACATCCAGAAAGCAGGGTAACATCTACCCCCAAATTGCACCTCTACTCCCCTTCCTCACCCAGCCTCATGACCATAGCGTTAGTTTAGAGCCAGCGGAACCAAACTTACGAGTTTTGTTTCAAATCAGGGCTGAGTGGGCAAAGTATTTTCCGTCTTAGACAGGTGAAATCCTCAGAAGGGAGTGGACTTTTCTTTCCGTTTCCGGGTTGGACAGGTTTCCGTTTTATACAGGTAATTAAAGAGGAATATATCAAGGGGGGAGCGGGGAGATTCCGTTAAGACAGGTTTCTGTTTTATACAGGTTTCCGTTAAGGCAGGTTCGACTGTAGTAATTTGCCATTCTTATGTCATTTATCAAAATAACATCTGATTTCTGGTCAGTTAGACCCATTATCAAAACTGGTAAGTGAAATTGTGCTTTAACAATGTGTTTGCATCATGTGACATGACCTCTGTGAGTACTGCATGTATTGGGGACCAGCAGTTTTTGGGATACCAAAGTTCATTCACACTTGACATGTGATGAAGTATACAGTTGACTGTTTCTTCAGTTTTTTAAATGCACATTGAGTACTTGATGTGATATCAGAGTACAAAAATGGAAACCAAGTTCTAGATTTGATTGCAGCTCTGTGGGATGAACATCTGGCAATATTTGTGTTGTTTCATTTTTTAAAGGTGCTTTTTAATCCGCCAAATTATGGTGTGAGACTATGTGTATGTCAACTGAAATTTCATACTTTGACAATCCCAAACTAAGGGCATGACTTACCCATTGGTACGACCTTTTGGCTAGTAGGGATCTTTCATCCGGTCATGATGGACTATTATTATTATTTATTAATGTGGTCTTTCATGTGTTCAGGAAAGCTTATTTTAGAAGTTGCTGTTTGCGGTTTTTTTTTCAGATGGTTGCTAAAGGCAAAGATGCATCTGATCTTTTCCCCCCTGTTGTCAAGAATGTTGTTTCCAAAAATTTAGAGGTGAGTATCATCACTTTGTATTATAGCTTTAGAGATAGAAATACTAATATGGTGCACTTTGTAAATGAAAATGAGAATACAGTGGGTGTGTCATAATGTAATATTTCCTTATTGAGCAAATGTATGACTCATGTAACGTCTGTTAGAAATACAATTGTTCACATATGTCACTGCACAAGAATCTCTTGGTTTTTTTATGGGATCGCATATTGTAGTGGTGTAGGCACTTGCCTCAGCACTTGGAGGTTTCTGGTTTCAGTGCTGTCTAAATTTCAAGAGATGTTCTTTTTAATAAAGTTTCATATATCTTTGAATTTAAGTAACTAACTGTTTTAAAACAGGCAGACATGAGGATCAAATGAGCCTCAGAATTAAGTAAATTGTATATATTAAATTTGAGCAATGATTGTGACATAAAATCTAAAACGATTTCAAATCAGACTTCAAGCAAATGTGTTTTGAAGGTGTTTGTTTTGACTTGATTTAGTTCATGTTGTGCTTTGTGACATTGATACATGAATTTGTGTAGTTGCAAGACTGTCTTACAACATTATAGCCTTGCAGTTCGCAGAATTGATAGGAATAGGGCTGACGTGATGCTAACTTGCAGTTTGAGACGATCTCATGGTTTATTAGGTTTTGGCTGCCTAAACAGAGTGGCCTGGCCCTCTAGGTTAAGTGTTGGGTCGTGGGGTTAACAGCTTTACCCATAAATAGTAAAAGGCAAAAGTTACAGATACATTGACATGAGAGAACTATCTTTAAATGTTGGGAGGTCCTGGAGCCTCTTCGGATGAAGAATGTATAAAACACCGCAGCCTAAGCTGAAAGGAAGTTGCCAAGTCTCTTCAGATTGATTTATGGAATGCTAGGACCCTCTGAGAGGCTAGAAAAACTGAACTTGTTGTCAAAGAGAGGCATGGATTCCACCTCCACAAACTGGGAATTAGTGAGACCTACTGGAACCAGTCTCTACAGAAACCAAGCATCAACATCAATTGACAAGCACTACAATGAAATCCTCAGGGAACAAGAGGCAGGAGTTGGCCATGGGAGACATGAAAATGTTGCACGGAGAAGGGTATGTTCAAGATGGGACACAAGTGGGAAAGTTGGGAAAGCTTGCCCAAGACAATGGAAATCACTTGTCCATGGCCCATAGCCTGCCAAGGAGGAAGGGCATTGATGACGATAATTTCTACACATATGCCTTACTGTTGTGCTGTTATGTTGTATCACAGTGACATGGACAAAATCAAAATGTTTATTTTAAATTTAATTTCTTTAGGTGAAGAAACTGGTCTACGTTTACCTGACAAGATATGCAGAGGAACAACAAGATCTTGCACTTCTCTCTATCAGTACTTTTCAGCGTGCTTTAAAGGTAAAAGCGTTTAAGTGATTTTGTCACTTTTGTGGCTATGATTTAAACCATTTATTGCTGATATGATGGCAGTAAAATGATTAGACATGTGTTTTGCCATACACTTTTCATGGATATTAATGCTTTCTATTTTTTTGTGTTAACTTACAAGATTGAAAGACTTTCATAGATTAATTCAGAATCAGCTTCTTGACACCAGAATGGGACTGATTTCCTTGTTTTTTCTGGTGTTGGATGGAATAAGTTTTATTTGCATGTGGTTGGATTGTGCTGTGATGGGGTCACACTCCATCTATTTTTGTTTCTGACATAAACTTTCTGTTCTGACAGGACCCCAACCAATTGATCCGCGCTAGTGCATTGCGAGTCTTGTCCAGTATCCGGGTGCCTGTGATCACCCCTATCATGATGTTGGCCATCAAAGAGGCAGTAATGGATATGTCGCCGTATGTCAGGAAGACAGCTGCTCATGCTATTCCAAAACTGTACAGGTATGTTGTTTTTGTCTCATGTGAACTACAGTTTGTTCTCCCCCGTCCCCACCAATGAGCGGAAGATGTATTTCCTCTGGGTGTGGAATGGGATGTGTGTGTGTGAACATCTATGCTCAGAAGTACACTATGTAATATTTACTTTCGTGAAGTGTCTGTGCATTTTTCCTCCCTTTCTTCAACATCTCTACTCCAACTACTGAAACTAAAGCCCTATATTCAGAATTTGGCATCAGTGTCAAATAGGTCGTTATGCTGCTGCACTTGGAACGGAACGGTCTTGGGTTCAAAGTGTGTTCTGGTTCTGACGTTGTGTCCTTCAGAATGACACTTACAACCACTTGAAAATGGATACGCCGTTAAGAATGGCTTGTATTGTCTGCTTGATAATGTTTGGGGGCCTATGTAAGGAAGCTTGCTCTGAATGCTTCCGTGGAAGCTGAGAATGTTTCAGAATATTATAACAGGTTCTGTTAAGTAGAGCCTCCTTTCAGGTAGGGTCGTATAAATGTAATTATTATTTTTATTAGACTTGTGAAAACAAAAAGTCTTTGTTATTATCAATCCAGCGAGGTGTTGGGGTCTTTCCCCTTTCTTTTTATATTTCGTGTGCTGGTGCATGTAGGTTGCATCAGATGTGATACACTAGAATCTGTTGCAGGTGTCTTTTGAGGAAGAAGGATAACTGATGTAATCACTGATCATATTATTATTGGACAGGATGTAGGACAAAATTTTCGTCATGGGTTGGAACTACATTATGTTTTTGACTTCACAGTTTGGACCCAGAAACCAAGGAACAGTTGATTGAAGTGCTTGACAGGCTGCTGGGTGATAAGACCACGGTAGGTTAAGATTTTTACCTGTCTGAGAACTGAGTTTTCATGGTTTCCTTGATTTCTTAAAAAAAGATTAAGTAATATAGTAACTTCGTTTTATACTGACCACACTTTCTTTAAATATGAATTAATGTAAACAAATGGAGGCATTTTTTGTTCAACAATAAAATTGTTCTGCACTAGTTAGATTCTTTTTCTGAACTTTGACCCACCAATTAAAATTGGTAATTGTTACAGCAATGTTTGAGCAAGTCAGTTTTTAAATCTTGACTTCATTGACAACAAAAATACAAAATAAAGAATTTTATTTTCTATCACTAAACATCGTGTTATTATTAATTCAATTGTCTTTAGGGCTCATTGCCATATTGTACAGCGTGGGAGCTTTAACATACGATAACTCTTAGTTTCTCTGTGGTATATATTGTGCAGCTGGTTGCTGGCAGCGCTATCCAGGCATTTGTGGAGATCTGCCCAGAGCGGATTGACCTGATCCACAAGAACTATCGAAAGCTGTGTAACCTGCTGGTGGATGTAGAGGAGTGGGGACAAGTGGTCATCCTCAACATGCTCACCCGTTATTGTCGCACCCAGTTCGTCTCACCCAACCAAGATGTAAGTTGTTTTTGGAGCTTTTGCATGCTTTCCCGTTGGGTGTGATAATGATCTGGTGCAGGTATTGAGCTTGAGAGGGTGGAAGGTATCACTTGGATTTCTTTCTTCTTATCTATCCCTCTATTGTCTCTGTGTGTCTGCCTTAGGTTTTCTCAGCACTCAGTGATTTTAGCTGTGTCAATGTGCGTCTCTTTTGGTGAGACCCTAAGTTCTTGATTTAAAACCTTTGTCAAAATTGTTTTTAACCCCATTATTTTTATTGAGTATCACCAGAGAACTGTCTTATATCGCTTTATGCAAAAAAACCAATTCAAACAACATTTTGAGAGGAAAGCAGATGTTTCTTTAAAAAAAGCGTGACTTAAAAAAAATTAGTTTAAAATGTACTGTAGGTATTCTCTGCACATGCACTTCAGTAAAGACATTTTTTGTGTTTGTTGTGATACCTTGGTTCTCAATTTTGTTGGCCCCCAAGGGCAGTGCTACTAATTAGCAGAATTCCGCAAATGGAAAAATTTGCGTTAAAATTCGCGCGACAAAATTAAAAAAAAAAAAGTAGTGAAATAAAAAATATCCGTAAATATACTAGATATCTAATAGTCAACAATAGCCAACCCATACCGGAAGTGCTCTTTTATTTGAAAGTGTAGACAGTGTCTTTCGCTTTCACCAGCTCTGTAAACAAGAGGAAGAAATGACGATTGTGGTTCAATAGATCTTGGGCATGCTAAGAAAAGAAAACTCTGAAGAGAGCTTGATTTTTTTTACCAGACTTGTTTATTTGTAAGTATTGTTGTGGATTTAAGTTGAATATAAGTAAGCTGTCAAGTTATTTAGATAGATCTGTTATACTATTGTTATAAGGATTCTACCCATTATGGTGCAAACCAGCAAAAGCAGAAAAAAGTTTAACATTAACTGTCAAGTTTTAAAGATCTAGCTGTTATACTACAGTTGTGGATGAACAGTATCGGTACAAGAGAGAAAACATGGCTTTGGATTTTTATGGTTTAACACAAGCAGAAAATTATGTATGCAAAGTATGTTTTTTTTCTCACTCATTTTCTTGTTAAATGTAGGCTTGAATAGCCAGAAATGGCATACTTAGGATGCCCTGAAACCAAAAATTCTCGAACGTCCCCCTTCAACCTTCTGCCCTGGACCTGAAAATCCTCGAAAAATGACATCAGCTGCTGGAAGCTCTGTGAAATGTCTTTTGGCCATTCCCATGAGGGGATATTAACATGTTCTTTTGCACAGTAGAATTGTAAATGGGCTTATTTATCAATATTATGCTCATACTGTGCCGGAAAACAGCATAGGGGGAACTGCTGCTTTTTCTTTCCTCATCCTTACTATCGTCATTTTTGCTCTACTTTTGTATGCTTGTCAATCTCTTGTGAACTGCTATTTCCGGGGTGCCTTGATAGTTGAAGCAGACTTTGTGCTGTTGAGGCTAGAGAGGTGATCAAAATAAGCCTGATTCCTCGTTTGGACTTCTCTGTTGACATCCACCCCTTGGCGCTCATATGACCATATGCAGTTGCGAGCTCGGTAAAACATCACTAAAACTAATAAACTAAACAATTTTGTTCACTGTTTATTTGAGGTGACACGTCTCTTATCTTTGATTGAAAAAGGACATACAAGAAGAAGAAGACCGCCCTTTTTATGAAAGTTCTGAAAAAGATTCTGACGAAGAAGATGAGGATGGTGGCGAGAAGAAGAAAACGGGAGCTTCAAAACCAGCACCGTACATCATGGATGCAGACCATAGGCTATTGCTGAGACAGTCCAAGCCACTCCTGAACAGTCGCAACTCTGCAGTAAGCTCGTGTTATGTGAAGCTAAAAAATTAGTTTCATGTTTTCAGTGTATTTGTTCCATTTGTTGTCGTATTTTTGTGTAGGCCTTGCTTACCTGTCAGTTTCTGCTATGTTGAATTTGTCTCTATCAACACTTGTACTGTTTTTGTTACTTATTTCTTTCTATAGTCCTCATGTTCATATGAATGAGGTAGTATTAGTTTGATTTAACATTTATCTGTCACTTTTCACTGTTAGGTACGGAGGGAATGATTTTTAAAATAACTTCTTATGCGATTAAGACACAATGGTTGTTCGTTGTTTTCTTGAATGAGATTGGCTGCTTGTAAGAATTTAGTTTAAAAAAAGTATGATCAGGATGTTATGTGAAAGTTACTTGTCTTGGTCTTATTGTGTTCTCAAAACTGAAATATAAGACACTGATTGACACTTTTCTCTAGCTGTTATCTGCAAGTCTGTGTGATGAGGTGGCCACTGTTGTCCACTTTATAAAGTGTTAATTAAAGAATTTCTGATATTTTTGTTAGCCATAAACATTGTTTTTTTTCCACAGGTGGTTATGGCTGTTGCACAGCTGTACCATCACTGTGCCCCCAAGTCAGAAGTTGGAGTTGTTGCCAAAAGTCTTATTCGTCTTCTGAGAAGTCACAAGTGAGAGACTGATTTTTACTTGATTGATTAATAGAGGAAACATATTCTTGATGATTGATACCACTGTTGTGTTGTATTGCAATCAATTTCAGAGATGCGAATGGTAAAATGGTTGGTAATCAAAGCAAGCCTAGTTACCTGGATGTGTCTTTTAGCTAGACACATTAACCCTAGCTGAAAATGTGGCAGTGCTTCAGCATGCGACAGTGGTTTGAAAGTAAGTGGAAGTATTTTATGATTTGTATGCTTTGATTGAATTCTTCTAAGTAAAACAATTTTCAGTTTGGGTGAATTAAAGTTGTCTTTTCACTTTGTCTGATATAATGTCATATCTGTTGGAAGTGAAAGCTAAAAAAAAAGCAGCATAAAGTGAGTGCATTTATTTTAGTAAAGCTTATTTCATATCAAGTAAAATGCTTTTGTTTAGAGTGGTTAATTTTTTGTAACCTAAAACCATTTTCTGATGCCTTTTTGGTTTTTCTTCAGTCCCTAAAGTCATTTGCTCTCTCTTCTTTTAAGCTAGCATACACGAACCTCAGTTTTTTTTTTATCATTGTCATTTTTAAACAGCTTGCACATTCTAGCATTTATGTGGTTGCAACAATCTTGTTTATTTTTAAAAAAATCCATAACGGGAGTTCTGGCATCACAGAGACTACGGGGGGGGGGGGGGGGGGGGGGGGGGGATCTGCCATATGTAATATGTTGTGTCTGATAAGGAGTTGCTGTTTCATAGCTTCTTGTCTTATCAAATATACATTACAAGGAAGACAATGAAAAATGTGAACTGTTCATTCTGATTTTAACTATTTTATTTTTTGTTTGAATTTCATATGGTTTTGTAAGCTTATAATTAGAAATATCTGACTGTGGGGATACATTATAAAAGCTCGTCTATTCATGCACTGCTAATTTTTTGTGCTTTTACATATATATCTTTTTAGTATCTGAAACACATTTTTTTAAATTCACAGGGAGACTCAGTATGTTGTTCTCAGCAATATTGCCACTATGACAAACAAGAGAAGGGTAAGTAAATAGCTAATATGATATACGTTATGAATTTATTTTATTTTTAAAGTCTGATAAAGCCTTATTCTCTTTCATAATTTTGTGGCGTCGGTGGCCTAGTGGTTAGGCTCTCGGACTCGCAACCGTAAGGTCGTGGGTTCGAATCCCGTCAAGGGCCCGACGTTGTGTCCTTGGGAAAGGCACTTTACACGAATTTCCTCACTTCACCCAGGTGGGAATGGGTACCCGGCTATAGACAGCGAAAGATCTTGTCAGTTTGTTAGTGTTTGAGCGCTTAATCGGCTGCTTGCACTGTATGCTTCCCGGGACGCTGAGAATGTTTCGGAGTGTTTTATGGTCTGCTGGGGTAATAATATAGTGTAAAGCGCATAGAGCCTGCTGTTGAGTGGGGATATGCGCTATACAAATGCTATCTATTATTATTTATTATTATTTCAGCATTTGGTTGCTCTATGTTATTCTAGTAGAATATGTGTGTTGTCATTTCCTTTCGTTTTCTGAATATTTTTTAAAGAAAGCCCATATATGGCCTTGTGAATTTATAAACTGAAAATTTCTTTACAGATAAATTTTTCCGCCTTGGAGAAAGCTCAATATTTCTGGTTTTCATGACTCATGTTCTGAATGTTACAGGGAATGTTTGAGCCATACCTCAAGTCATTCTACGTGAGATCCTGTGACCCTCTGCACGTGAAACTTCTGAAAGTAAGTACACCCAAGGAACCAACCAAAGAAACACAATTCAAATGAAACAAATGTGGACAGTTTAGATGGTGTGATAGAACATACATCTCATCAATTTTTTTGATTATTTTCTAAATTGAATAGAATAGTCATGAGGATACAGTTGTTTGAACCTGTAATAATCAAATGTGTCATGACGTGGTGGAATCAGGCGCTCGTCAATTTTTGGGCATTTGGGGTTATTGGTATCATCTGAAAGATTATTCATTTGCCTTGCTTTCTATGAAAAGAACATCCATCTATCTTGAATAGATGTCGAAATATTTGCGATTGAAGGAGGTGGGGGTAGCATGGTTTTAAAGGGTAGAATTAGTGAGAAAATGGCCTCCAAAGTTTGGTAACTTCTATAGCTTGAGAGTCCTTGAAAGCGGAAAACGTACATATTCTTTACCATTAATTGACGTTTTTCCGTTAAATTCACATGAAAATGTGTTTTATATGGACATAAAAGGTGTTGAGCCAAATAACAAAAATTTTTAAAAAAATTGCCGAACTGGAGGAAAAATGTCTATTTCTTTGATTTCCTTATTTGGACGAGTGCCTGATTTCACCACGATGCCTCACAAATCATTTAAGGCTGTTTTGTGTTATACAGTACACATGGCACATCTCATATGGGACTCTTTTGAGCACAAGGCAGGATCAATGACCTGCCATCTTTTATACCTTGTTATGTCTCTTGTACATATGCCTTTGATGTTGCATATTTCTCTTTTTTTTTTAGCTGCAATAAGCTGCTATTTCTTCCCAGGTTCTAAACTTTATCTTTGTTTTAGCCATGTTTCATTTTCAAGTATCTTTGTGTATTAGAAGAAGTGGATGGTTTTTCCTATTTTCTTTCTGCAGTTCTTTGTGGAGGAGGTCTTTTGGTAATTTCTCGTCTTTAATGTATTATAATAATAATCTAACAAAGGTGTTCAAGACCTCTTAGTTTTCTTTTTTTGAGCAGCGAAAATACAATTGAATTGAAGTTCCTAATCTTTCCACGATCTCTGTTTTGGTATTTTTGTATGAATATATTTTCCCCATCTTGACAAGGCGTGTCATGTGAAAGCTTTTCAGCCTTTTGATTGATGTCCAGGTTTCATTTGTAGGCAGAAGCATGCTCAGATTACATGTTTAGGACTACTGAACAAAAAAATATCAAGTAGCAAGAGTGTTGGTGGTTAATTAGTACTCTAGTGTGAGTGGGTGGTTGGCGGGTGCTCTGGTGTGGTTTGCTTCTTCTTTCCTATGAAACATCTATCGTCCTTATCTCCCCTTCTTCTTTTTTATGTTTGTTACTCTCTTGTAACACCTCTAATCTTCTGGCGCTCATATGACCTTATGCAGTTGCGGTCGCCGTAAAAACCTCTACTAAAACTAAAAACTATCTCTAGTGTGTTCTACCTTTTCTACTTCTTTTTAGTTCTAATTTTGTCCTAATTTGTGCTTACTGAAGTGTGACCAGCGTGATCGACAGTTGCTGTAAACTGCTAACCAGGGACCAAAAGTAGTATTGTTTCCCATAGACTCTGTCCCCACAATCTTAATGAAATTTTGTTTTCCAGCTGGAGATCCTCACTAGTTTGGCCACAGAGACCAACATTTCCACCATTCTGAGAGAGTTCCAGGTATTTACTGTGTTTTTAAATTTTACACTGCAACTGTGAATCATTATTTGCTTAATGTTGACATCCACATACTGATCATCGTAATCTTAACATGAGTAATTATTCAGATAGCTACCAAAACAGCGATGACAACAATAATGACAATGATAATAACAATAGCATATCCCATCCTATGGGCCCATGGCGTTTTTTTGTAGGTATAAATACTTTGTTCAGATGTACTTACACGCTCTTGCTCACTCTCTGATGGACACCTACTTTCCAATTCTGCAGATGTGCTCAACCCTCGCCACGTTTGCTAATGTTAACATTTACACTCTACTCTCTTATGTGCTTGTGCACACACATTGTCACTTTCTACAAAGTAAGGGAAGAAGCCAAACCCGTGGCCACTCAAATATTTATGGTTTAGTTTCAGTGGAAATTATGAACACCCCCACAGTGTTTCAGTATAATTATCTATCTGTATTTCAACATGAGTGATGCTTGCCAGACGTGCAATTTTACTGGACAAAAATGATCCTCGTTAACAGTGACTTTTGTGAAATTTTGAATATAAATGTGAAGAATGAATTTAAGATTTTGTTAATTTTTCTTTGCAAATGGGTAGTCTTCTCAAAGTGAGAATGAGAAAAAAACCCAAACGCCCCTCCCCCCCTCCCCACCCCTCCCCCCAGCCACTGTAGATTGCATTTCAGTCAGAAAAAGACATAAATTTGCTGTTAGAAATTTTTTTTGCACCAAGCTCAGAATATCTCAAATACTTTTAGTTTTGTGTCTTGTCACTGTTTAGTGAAAGTTTTAAAATTGTCTTGTATGGATAAGTGATTAAAAATGTTAAGTTAGAGTTTACTTTAGGCAGAGAACTGGATGAAACTTGTTTTTTATCATCCTCATTTGGCAAAAGTCATCATTGTCGATGAAGCGAAGTATTGTATTCTCGCTATTTTGAGTCTTTAAAGATTAAAAGCTTATGAAAAGATAAATCTATGCTCATACAGTCTTTTAAACTGTATTTGTATTGACTGACTTTTTTTGTTTCTGGTGTATATGTTTTGCTGTGATAATGACTTTGTCTTTGACAGTATTTGTTTGTGATTTTGTTTTTGTCTGGGTTAAATGCATTATAAGCATTAACTAGGTTATTTTAAAAGTGACTGTAAAGGGAATTTCTATTTATCAATTTTCACGTGTATTCCAGACATATGTTACTAGCTCGGACAAAGACTTTGCGGCTGCCACCATCCAGGCTATAGGTCGTTGTGCCAGCTCCATAGCAGAGGTTACGGACACCTGCCTCAATGGTCTGGTTAGACTCATGTCAAATAGAGATGGTATGTCTGTCAGAACCTTCAGTGTTTTATCACGAGACAGTGTATTTCACTCCTTCAGCTTCTCCATTTCACTCGTTAGCTGGAAGGTCTACTGTTCTTTTTTAGTTTTATTGTCAGGTCCCAGAAGAAGAGAAAAACATTTAAAGTTGTTCCTTCCTTGAACAGGTGGGACTTGTACTGGAATATTATATATTATATAATTGAAATTTATTTGATGAATGTTTCTCTATTTGAGAGCATTACAACGAGATTGGCTTCCTTGTAACTGGATGGAACAGAGAGTGTCATTGTCGTTGTCAATTGTTTTTTTTTTTCCTGAAAAATATGGTACTATCAAATGAAGATGCATCAACCGCAAAAAAAAGGAGAAAGAGAAATCAAGAGCAGTATACATTGCAAGTTTAATGTTTAAACTGAGTGCATTTGTAAATAGAAGCATTTATGAAGTTCCTAATTAGCTGAACAGTAGTTGCCCTTTTCTAATATAATTTACCTTTTTTCATTTTTATACAACTTTAATAGAAATTGAAATGTGTATGACTTTTCCTATTTAGTTAATAGTACAATTTGAATTGTACTATAATTTTCCATATTTAGTTAATAGCTTATCATGCATTATTAATAGACATTGGAATGGGCCTGACCTGTTCTGCCGTATCGGGTTGGCTCAAATGTGTTTCAAATGTTCCCTTTTTCAGAGGCTGTTGTTGCAGAGAGTGTGGTGGTTATCAAGAAGCTGCTGCAAATGAGGGTAAGTACCTTCTTGTTGGCTTTGGAGTCTGTTCAGTATGTCGGCCCTGCCCAGATCATCAAGAAATATATCCCTTAGGACCACTGGAATCTTTGTGTTTATTTTATACATAATTTGGTTCAGGCTTCAACCCTTGTGAAGAGTTGGGAATGTTGAAATATCAAAGAGGTGTAAATACCTGTGGTAAGCATATATACCTTTTTTTATGGACACATCATCTTTATTAAGTAGAAGAGCTGAAATGTTGGTAACTGTTATATATTTTCAAATATGTTTCTGTATTAAAAGATAATGTTGCTATTGTTTGGGTATGTATTCTTCTGACACAAAGTTAAAAAACGATTCCCAAGGTACAGTAATATGTGAGGCAGCATGGTGAAATCCGGCGCTTGTCAAAATGATGAAATCAAAGAAACCGACATTCTCCCTCTCTTTTGGCAAATTTTATCGAATTTAATGTTTTTTGGCTCAACATAGTTTTTGTCCACTTAAAAAACATTTCCGTGTAGATTGTACTGAAAGATTAAAGGCGCAAAAAATGTAATTTTGCAGTTTCCAAGGACTCTCACGGTCTGAAAGTCACAGAAATTTCACGTCCATTTTTCTCGCTAATTTTAGTTCTGAAACAAGCGGCCCCCACTTTTTTAAAGGCAAATATCTTGACTCTTATGCAAGATAGATGAGTGTTTTTTAAGTCAAAAGCAAGATAACAGAACCAAATTTAGAATGATAACAATAACTCCATATGCCCAAAAATAGTACAAGCGTCTGATTTCACTGCATCGTGACACATATTCTTATAATAAGATTAATTGCTTTAGAAGTTATCTAGATGCTATGTAGAATTTGAGACAACCAAATTTATCAACTACTACCATGGTTTCAACAATGACAGCATATGCATAAGTCGTCTAACACTGGTGTCCTCTGTGTTTGAATAAAGTCGAAAATTCTAACTCACAGAGTAATAATATATGACATTTATACAAAGCTCACTCTGATTAAAGAAAACAGGCTCTGAACGCTTTGCAGGTACAATAGAAATATTTAAAGTGTACATTGTGTTCTAACACATTTTTAAAATATATATCTCATTAGTATAATAACTGAAATGACTTGAGCTAACATTTTATCAGTTTTATCATTTTGCCCTTCTTGAGAGTATAGTTTGATTTCGGACTTTTGAAGAAAGTGAAATAACTGTAGTGTTTATAGAGTGCTTTGTTTGAAATTAGAAAAGTTAATGTAAGATGATTGTTGTAAGGCCATATACACTCTCTGGAACGTAGATGAATTTTGTTGTTGTTGAAAATTCGTTGATGATTTGGGCATGGTGTTCATTTCAACTTTGCTTCATTGAGTGGTTTCACTGCTTTCCACCTTAAAATTATATTGTCTTTTTTGGTCATCGGGGATATCTACCTTTCATGGAGATAGTGAATGCAGGAAAAAAACATTTGCTTCTATTTGTATGTTCTGATTGAAATTGTGTTGAGTTACCTGTCTTTGTCTTAAGAGGTTGGTGCACATGGGAATTTGTCATTGCATTCTTAATTCATGTTTATGATTTTTCTTCAGCCTCAAAAAGACTCAAAGTCAAAGGTTTTTGTGATGTAGACTTTCCGCTTTGGGTTTTTTGGTGCTTCAAAAGTTCCAGATTTTATGTGTTGTTCACATAGCTATTGTGTTTCAAATGATTTAGATCGTTGAAACATGCATGCATAGCACAAAGCCGGAATGGGCTCAATTATTTAAAAGGATACAGGTAGATGAGTTAAAAGGGCTTTTTATTTTTTTTAACCTCAAGTGGTCTTGGTCTTGGTGATGGTTGGAAATATTTTTTAAATATTTGTGTCTCCTTTGTCCTGATTTTTGCATGTCATCTGACTTTGTTACTGCTACTTGAATAGAATCCTTCTTATCCAAGGCATTTTCCCTAAACTTGTTTCTGAGTTGGTGATGGTGATTTCATACTTAAATACAATTTTCGATACTTCCAATTGTATTTTTTTCTTAATGAATATCAAATACCCAAAAGTCTTAAAGAGCGGCATTTAGTTTTCATCCCTGCTATGTTTTTTTCATGACTTTATGTGGAGGATAATTTACTCTCAGCGCTGTGGGAGGGAACTGAGTCACAATGAGTACTTTAGTTTTCACATACATTCTCTTTTGCGCGCTCATATGACCTTATGCAGTTGCGAGCGCCGTGATACTCTTACTAAAACTTTAAAAAATACATTCTCTTTCCTTCTCTGTCTGTCTGTCTGTCTGTCTGTCTGTCTGTCTGTCTGTCTGTCTGTCTGTCTGTCTGTCTGTCTGTCTGTCTGACACACACACACACACACACACACACACACACACACACACACACACACACACACACACACACTCACACTCACACTCACACACACACACACACACACACTCACACTCACACACACACACACACACACACACACACACACATGCCCAAATCAGTGCTGATGTTGTGAGCTTGGAAAGTTTGGTGCTATGTCTACTCCAAAATGGAAATGTTGGATCCAAATAAATTACATTTGTGTTTTGATTGGTAAAATACCAATTTTCACATTATTCTCCAAAGTCTGTTTGGTATTGATGACATCTGGCTATGTAACTGGCTTTGGACCAGGGCTGATTTGCATGACTGGCTAGACTTTGGCTAGACTTTAGAGAGGCGTCAACATACTCGTGCAATTTTCATTATTTGGTCACCATTTAATTCTATGAGTTAGATCTGTAATTCTTATTGCCCCCTTGTAATGAAATTAAGAAATTGCGAGTAGACAAAAAATTAAAGGTAACAGTGGGTAAGCACCTCTTGTAGTTAATCCTATTGTGTAATTTGTCATGGTATGGTTTGACCTTTTTTTTGGGTTTGTGTAAAGAGGGGCTCTTATTTTATGGTGACCATCAGTAGTGAACAGTCATGGTCGGTTCTGATAAAATGTACCTGTGATATTGGATGTTGATTTTTTACCAGAAGTGCATCCAGTCTTCTTTTGATTTAAGAAGTAAAAATTTGTGCAATGAACTCTTTTACCCTGAAATGACAAAGGGGGAAAAGGGAGAGAGAGAGGGAGGGAGGGAGGAAGGAAGGGCCGTTTGTCAAACTATTTTTTTTGTTTTCTGATATTTCATGTGGCTCTCGGTGCAGCTGGTTGGATGGGCTCCAACGTCAGGCACTTTTGTTTTTGATCCCCCTCATTTTTTCCCTTCTTGTTTTTTCTTGGCTATATTTTGATAGTCTTTGTGTTGAAATTTCATTTTTTCGCTTCGAAAAAGACAAACGCAATAAGTGTACTACTGTCAAATAAGTGGTTGCTCTTCTCATCACCAAAAACAAATATTATTGTTTTTATCTTCTGTAGTTTAATCTGAACTCATTAACTTATTACAATTATAATGTGTTTGCTCTGGTTGATCGTTATAAAGTCATGTAGTCTTTTGGACAGATGCAGAAAGTAAAAGTTAAAGTATTAGATTATACTTTTATTGTATCCCTTTCAATCGAAGACTCACACAACCTTGCAAAAACTAAATTTGATGTCCTTTTCATTCGATTTGGTCCTCCTTTTCTGGAAGTGGGTGCTTAACATGATGGCTTGTTTGTTTCTTAAATGCTGTGTGTTGACATAAGAGTGAAGGTTATGGATAGGGTGATTCTGTTTTTATATTAGATGTCAAGGCTTTTGTATCAGTTATTCCTGTCTACTGACTTGCCTTTCTTTTGAAGCTCAAGGTTTCGTGGATTTAAATCACGTCAAGAATCAATTTTCCTCTCCTTCCAGTATTTTTTAAAACAATCTTTGTGCACAAAGCGGTTCAGGTTATTAGTAAAAAAAAACAACTGTAGTACTATTGTGTAATTTTTGTCACCTTAAGAAAATAGTCCGATTAATTTAGAGCACCATGACAGTGTCACTGAAAGATGGATTGTGGGTATGAGTTCACATTGAGAATGATAAATGGATGGTGTTTATTTTCAGGTCTTAAAAGGAATGTAATTGAGGATTCAAAATTAGAAAACCTTCTGGTTTGTGGGTTGCCAGTGGGTGCTTTTGTGTGGGCTACTCCTCTGCCTTAGCTATGTCCCTGTTATCCTATTTGTCACTGTTATCCTGGTCCATTCCTGGGGAAATATGAATTTTGACATGTTGACTCTCTGAAGACTTCTAAACAATAGCGACACTAGGTTGCCCTAAAGAACCATATCAATAATGAGTGAACTGAACCGAACATATTCCATACATAAACTGACTTCCTACTCCACTTTTTGTATATTACAAGCAAGTCATGTAAATCAAAAGTAAGCTAACTCATCAGTATTACAGCTTCTCGTCTGAGTTCTCTTTAACATCTTACCAACATGGAAACACAAGGGTTTCAAAACTTTATTTACAGCTGTATGAATGAGATTGATTTTAGGTTGTTAAGAAAGTGCTTATTCTAATTTATGTGAAAATAATCTTTTCTGTTCTTTACTCCTGCCTTTTTTTTTGTGGTACAGACTGTTGATCAAATGTAGAGTATTGAGTCCCTGTTTTTAGTTAGTAGCTATTGTTGAGAATCCTGTTTTTTTCTCTTTTTTTTGTTGTTCTCATACTAACTTTAACTGTTACAGAACTTGATTGTTTATTTTTGTGTTTTATACATGCTTACTTACTGTTTGTGGGTTTTTTAAAAGTTCTAAATTAGTACTCAATGTGCTTTTTTTTCTGTTTAGCCGTCTGAACACAAGGACATCATCTGCTACATGGCGAAGATGGTGGACAAAATCACAGTACCCATGGCCCGAGCCAGCATCCTGTGGCTGATTGGAGAGTACAGTGAGAGAGTGCCCAAAATTGCTCCAGATGTTCTCCGTAAAATGGCCAAGGACTTTATTAATGAGGTTTGCTTTCAGTTTTTTTCTGTTTCTCCTCTTTCTTTTCTCTTTTTCTATCTGAACCACATGGTATTCACAGGCTATGAAGACACATACACTCTGTTTCCTAAATTTATCATGTCTGTCAGAATGAAGGTAGGTACAGCAAAACAACAAGAAAGAAGAAAAGAGGAGGAAGGAAGACAGGAGGAAGGTAGTACCCTCTGAGCTATAGCTTATCCCTCTAAAAGTCTAGGTTTAAAGTCAATAAAGCATTTGTGGAGATGCTAGGCTGGAGAAGTAAAGTTTGAAGATGCGATTAAACATATGGGAGGGCTTAATAGTATTGGTGTAGTGCATCACATGGAATTATGGTGGAAAAATAGAGTATTGGTGTAGTGCATCACATGGAATTATGGTTGAAAAATAGAGTATTGGAAGAGGATCCAAAGTTTTGACACATTGTACTCGCCTCATTTTGAGTTTATAATGACCATTATCCTGTTGACTCTCCATAAACTACGAGTCATATACAACAGTTCTCGAAAGTTATATTTTGTTGATTACAATTGATGTGGATGATATTATACAGAATAATATTTTTCTCTCAGGAGGACATTGTGAAACTGCAGATCCTGAACCTGGCGGTCAAGTTGTGCATCACCAACCCCAAGCAGACCAAACTGCTGTGCCAGTATGTGCTCAACCTGGCCAAGTATGACCAGAACTATGACATTCGTGATCGCTCGCGCTTCTTGCGTCAGTTTGTCATGCCCTCAGACAAACCATGTGCTTTGGCAAAGTATGTGAAGAAAATTTTCCTTGCCACCAAGCCCGCTCCTGTATTGGCTTCCAAATTCAACAGTAAGTGAAGTTAGATAGTCGTGATTACATGTAGAGAACTCCTTCAGAAGAAAAACCGATAGGACATTTATTGTGTCTTGCATGACATGGGGAGACCACGCAATGTATATGTCAGGACGAGTAAATGGTAGCCTGCAGATAAAATGCTTTGATTACTTTTGATCCGACTGTGTTGTAAGAGTGAGCAATTTTTGGCCAACTCCATTCCCCTTGTGATGCTTTTATCATTGCAATCTTTTATAGTCAAAGCTTTACCCTAGACTTTGTACTTTGACTTCTGAGAACCAGTGATCCTATTTTGGCAATACAAGACAGTTGTCCCTGTTACTAACCAATGTTCATAAAGCAGTTAAGGTTCTTTGTCATTGTACAGGTTTAACACCCCTTTCAACGCTATAAGGTTATTAAAGAGAGGAGGACAAAGTCAAAAAGATTGATTTAAAAATTCCATGAAACAAACCAAATTTCAGAATGCCCTGTTGGGAATTCGAACCAGGGTCATCCGTTCCATAGTTCAGCATGATTCTAACTGAGCTAACGTTACGCCCCACTTGAGATTTCAAATTTTGCTTAAATCATAAAAGATCATGTCGTAGTAAAGTAAGTGTAGAATGTGAGTCATTAGACAGAGCAGTAGAGGGCATGTGTGAAGAAATAAAGTCAGAGACATGGCACAGTCTCTCCCAAAAAACTCCATGAAGTTGAAAAGGCACAAATTTGGTTTATTGCTGCCAATTCAGTAGCTTAGTTTAAAAAAAGGATGTTTTATTATTATGACCCATCATTGGGGATCATTCACGAAGGAGCTTGGCAATTTTAACAAGATGCTGTCTTGTGCCCCACAGCTCATGACCAGTATCAGCTGGGCTCTTTGTCGCACCTGCTGAACATGAAGACAACAGGCTACCAGGATATGCCTGAGTGGCCAACTGTTGCACCCGACCCTAGTGTGCGGAATGTGGAGATGCCCCCCGCCTGGCAGGACCAACGGGAACCAATCAGAGGCAAGAAGCAGAAGCAGCCGAGCACTGATCTCAAGTCCTTCTACTCCTCCAGTGAGGATGAGGATGACGAAGAAGGCAAGTCGATTGGATTGTCAATGCTGATTTTAGCACTTTGTCCACCCAATTGTTGAAACCATTTTCGAAACTTGCCATTTCTGGTTGTCACAGTGTAGCAGCCTGGTTTTGAGAAAGAGTTTTTGTGTCTTGTAGTACTTGTGTATAATGGTTATGATTTCTTTGGTAAGATCTGAATGTGGCGCAACGGCTTATCCTTTCCACTTGTTGGGTCCATAACAAAACTGATTCACTTAGTGTGTAACCTAGTGTGTAACCTCTTTTTTTCCGGGCTATGATGAATGAGTATACTCGTAACCTGGATTAAGCCGGGCTATTAGTAATCTCGGGAGAACTATACGATCTCGTCAAACAGCTAGTTCTGCTTGTAATTACCAAAGTACCCAAATACAATGAAGCTGGCTCTGAATATTTCAAATTTCCAGTGAACAGCGGTTTCTTTGCTTTTGATGCGTGTAGAAGCATGAGAAATGTCCCGAAAACGCATCAAGAGAATCAGCTTTGTTACAGTTCAGGTGACTCTTGAAAGTTTTAGGACTAAGATTATGGCATCAGCTTTTTGCATGTATTTTAACATTCTGACTGGTAGCTTTTCTTTCTTTTTCCACATGTCTGTCCTGACAAACAGATGACAGCAGTGAAGAAAGCAGTGAGGAAGATTCCGATGATGAGAAAGATGAAGAAGAAGATGATGAGGATTCAGAGGAGGAGACAGAGGATGAGGAAGAAGCTTCAGATTCTTCCAAGGAAAATTCAGAGGAGGAATCATCTTCCGAGGACAGTGAGGACGAGGACTCTTCTGAGGAGGAGGACTCATCCGAGGAAGAGGTTGTGGTGAAGAAACCTGTGAAGAAACAAGCTGTAAGTTTTGTTTTGTTTTGTTTTGTTTTGTTTTCTGGCTTGCAAATCTGTTCTCAATCTCATCATTAAACTCCTGTAATGAAAAAACACATTTTTTAAAAACCTGTAATATGTATGCTAGTGTAATGTATTTGCAGCAAAAACTTGCTCCAGTATATGTCCAAGTAAAGTAAAACTCAGGTACAACTAACTTGGGCTGAAAGAAAACTCAGATTAAATGAAAGGAGAAGGATTCACCCACTTTTTTGTTAACTCAGATCAATAAAATACCTAGTACTTGGCAAACACTCAAATGAGCAAGCCTGACTCTACAAAGTTGCTTGCAGAAGGAAGAGCTCAAACACCCCCCCCCCCCCCCTCCCCAACCCCACTCAACTGATATAGCTGCGAGCATTTTTCTCCAGCAACAAATCTTATCTAATCTATTCCAGGTGACCGTCGGTTGCCCTGCACTGTGAATCATAACATTCTTATTGCATATACATTGAACATCACGATTGACCTGTCCGATAGTGATGGGATATCTCACGTGGGTGGTTGGCGGGTGCTCTGGTGTTGTCTGCTGCTTCTTTCCTATCAAACATCTATCGTCCTTATCTCTCCTTCTTTTTTGTGTTTGTTACTCTCTTGTAACACCTCTAATCTTCTCTAACTTATATGACCTTATTGTGTTGCAAGTGCTGTAAAACTCTTACTAAAACTAAAAGGATATCTCACTTTGAGTTTTGGTTGCAATATGTGATAGGTTGAGTTTTCTGTTTTGTCGAGAGGGAAGTAGGGAACTACAATTCTAAACAATAGTAAAGTGTAACGTTTTCGCACTGTATTCCCACGCAGTGTGCAGCGCTCTATTCGCACAGTGTGCAGAGGTCGCTCCATGTATCGTTCTTCTCCAATAGGGTGTAGAATATTGAACGCTATAACTGGAATAGTCTTTGCATTGGTTTAGTTTAACAAAATTAACAAATGTTTCTACTGTTTCAACAGGAAGCCAAGCCAAGCAGTTCAGCCAAGAGCAAAAAAGAAGCAAAATCAGCCCCCAGTGGAGGTGGAGACCTTTTGCTCGATTTGGATGATTGTGAGTTTTTTTTGTGTCAACTGAAATTTGATACTAGATAAAAGAAACTGTATATTTCATTTGAAAAACAAGGCACACATCATCTTTTGACATTCTGAAACAATAGTATTGATGAAAGCCTATCTTTCCTGTGCATGCTTTATTGAAAGATTGTAAAATGTGTCAGCATTTGATGGAACCTTGCCATATGAGAAAATTTTTAAAAAAGCATTTTAATGGGGACAATTGTTTTCATGGACACTGTTGTGTTTTTAATGATGTTTGCTATATTCAGCAAACTGTTCCAAGTCAACAAGAAATAAGATCTTTGACCCTATTTGTCTTCACAGTAGCCGGATCTGTTGCCTCTGGACCTGTAGGTTCGAGTCTGCCCTCGGGTGACCTTTTGACCCCGATGGCAGCTGGCAGTGCCCCCTCTCCTGTGCCCACCTCAGCAGCCGAGTCCCAGCAATCTAATGTAAGTTATCTTTCGCTTTTTACAAACGATCTCTGGGTGACAAAATTTGATGATTATTTACTGCTTGAAAATTTGAACAGTTTGGTACGTGTAATGTCCTTTTTAGACAGGGGAGATGAGGATGCATCCCCTTTTTTTGTTATAATGAAGCTTTGAATAATAACATGATAACCTCTGCGGTTTGTAAAAAATTAAATATTTACTAGAGAAATGAGTGATGGGGAAACAAGGTGAGCTTTTAGAATCCTTTACTGAGGAGATTTGACACAGAATGAAGATGAAGGAAATTGGATCATTTGTTTGTCTGTAGTATTGTCATAATCACTACAAGTACCATAATCTCAAGGATAATATTCTGAGCACCCATACAATTTAAACCAGCCGGGTCTATAAACTTTATTATAAACTTGATAAAGGTCATTTCACTCATCTTGGGCTGACATTTGAACACGATAGAGAATGCCCCAGACCAAACAAAAGGAAAACAATCAAGGTATACAAGTCGGTAGCCTGCTTTGATCATGTTGCTTCCCTTGCATTATAGATGAATTTACAAAGTTGCAAAAGCAGCAGGTGCTGGGAAAGGCACCATGACTATTACAAAACGAAGGAGGACTTTAAGGTTAAATTGCAATCATACTGTTTTCATGATTGATAACAATCATGATGTCCTGAATGTCTGTAAACTTAACAGTTGTGTAACAGTTATTGTTATTAATAATCCAACAGCCTTAGGTCATTCCTTTCAGTCCAATGCCAGGACTTTAGCTAGTGAAAATCTTTATAATCTATCCCCTATTGCTGTGTTGGGTGATTTTTTGGTTGGGATGGAGAAGAAGAAGAAATTGTTGTCAGAGGTCCTGCAGGTCAGGAGGACATTGGAAGAGTTCGTAGGTGTTGGGCAGTTTTTTGTTTTGGACAGTATTTTGTAATGGTTATCCTGGAGCTGGCTGAGAGGTAAATTTCTTGGAATGATTGATCCTGTTGGATATAGTGTTTGTCATCTTTGATTTGTTCTGCTGGTTTTTTTTTAGATTGTCCAAGGGATATCTGTTCCTGTCAAGGAGTATGAGCTGTTGAATCGACTGAGCACAGGGGGCTTGACTGTCACCTATAAGTACACCCGCACCATTTCCGTCTTCTCACCCAAGATGGTCTCCATAGAACTTACTCTCACCAACGCGGGAGACGCACCCTTCACTGCAATAAAGATTGGAGACAAGGTAATGAACATTTGTCACCCTTGTGTGTTTGGTACAATTTAGAGAAACAAGTTATATTCTTAACACACAGATTTATAGAATTCCCTTGTAATGGACACTCCTTCTGTGTGCATTGTGTATACATTAGTATTTTGTGTGTGGCAGGTGATTGGCAGGTGCTATGGCGAGGTTTGCTCTTTTCTTTCCTATAAAAAATCTATCTTCCTTATCTCTTCTTTTTTATGTTTATTGTGTTGCAAGTGCCGTAAAACTCTTACTAAAACTAAGTACATGTGTGTTTCAGCTAAATGTAATGTGATGTTTTTTAGATCAATATGTTCAGTCTGTACTGAAGCCACTTGCCTTGAATTGCCATGGCCAGATGTTGTCAGGTAAGAATGGGACAGTCTGGTGATCAATGGTGGCTGTGACTTTGTATTTGACGGTACAGGATGCCAATGCTACATACTGTGGAAATACTAATGATATTTTTTGTGTTCAAACTATTTTTTTTTGGTAAAAAAAAAATGATACTCTGGCTTGGTACTTTTCCCATGGCATGTGTGGAATATAAAGTTGGTAGTGGCTGCTGTGTTTATATATATGTCCATATTTTCAGATGATTGAGGACTGTGCTGAAACTTGCTGCTTATATTCTCTGTAAAACTTTTGTGTTGTGACTTGCTTCTCATTCTCATCTTTTCTTTCCAGAAAACCCAGCCAGGCATGGAAATTCACGAGTTCCCTGAAATATGTAAGTCTCAGTATTTGTACTGATGTCTCTTTGTGAGTCAATCTTTTTAATACATAAATTCTAATCTTAAATTCACCTACTGAAATGAAGAACAAAAATTATTTTATAAAAAGTTGTTTGACAACTTTGAATTATACATAGAATACCTAAATGAGTAGATGGAACTCTGCGATGAGGGTAAAGTGGTATGGAATGTGGTCTCAAGCTGACTGACATTATCTTTCTTTCACACATTTTTTTGTTGTGGCTCATCCTGCACCTCACAAAGCCTTAGTCTTGTGCCTTCCATTCCAGTACAATGTTGTATTGTGTGGATATTGCTTTACCATTGATCTTGTGTTTCAAAATTATCAATTTGTGAAAGAAAGAAACTTTTTTTTAAAGCTAATCTGGCTTGAAATTTAATACTGCTCTTTTTATATTGACATACTGTAACATTTCGATTCTCTATTGCTTAAGCTTAATTTTAAACATTTTTTTGTCATAAAGCTTTGAAAGGAACTGAAACTGTTCATTTTTATCATACTATCAGTGCTTCCACTCTTCCGTATTTTTACGGAAATCCGTACTTTCTGCTAGTTCCGTACTTGTCCCTCCATCATCATCAACTCCCTCCGTAAAAATCTGCGATAGCGTAGGACTACCGAAATTCCGTAGCAAAAGATCCGTACTCGCCTTCGTATCGTCTTGTATAAGTTACGGATATTTACGGTAATTCTCTCGGCAATAGTTTATGCTATAGAAACCTGCCAGATTGCGCATTTCCTGCAATCGGCCATTATTCTACTCTGCCCCATGCATTCATTGCAGGCTTGTCGGCAGGCTTGTCGGCAGTACTACATTTTTTACCTGCAGATTGATCAAAATCTGGCGAACTTTTTGTGCCACTTTCCTCCTTTCTATCGTTCCCTCATTCCGTCTGTCTATCTTCGGATTGTTGCCGCGGCTGGAAGAATCTGCGCGTTGATCAAGTATATTGACATGTGATCTTAAACAGAAAATTACTGTCAGAAAGAATATTTTTTGCAAATTTATTGTCTAGATTCTAGATCTAGAGAAATTGTCATTGCGAAGATTCGGACGAGCGACAGTCGTTCTAACACTTACACAACTACATGTAAACTGCGCTGGCAAGACTAACATACGGCCGTTGTCGTTGCTTTAGTCTGAACGCATTATGAGGGATAAGAGGTTTGTTGGTACATTTGGTCGGTCGGCCCCCGTCGTTATCCTAGAAGTAGAACGACTGTTTCTCATCCGAGTATTTTGTTTGAACGTGCAGTTAGTCGGACCTGTTAGTAAAATTGTTTCAATCGCGCATACGCATCACGTGACATGACATCGCCGTGAGTTCTGCGTGTCGGGGACCGTCCGTTGACGGGGTCAACCCAAGTTCATGTATTTCGGGACTTATTGGTTTGGGGGGGTAGAGACTTTTGGACTAGGAGTGCTTAACGTGATGCTTCAGGATTTACCAAAAATAATGATAACACGCACGCAAAGACACACAGAGAGCATAAAGGCCGAGTAATTTATGGACACCGATGGAAAATTTTAAAGTCAGTTTTGGCAGTCACCTTGGTGATTTGCTGTTGATCCCGATTTTTTTCCACCAAATCCCGATTTTTCTCTCCCTGAGATCCTAATTTTGAGGCTTCATAGAGTGGCAGGTCTGGTAACTGTATTGTGAAGGTACAGCCTACATATATCTATTCATTATTCCCAGGTTTACCTTCTATCAGTATCAAAGGTGCGATGACAAATTAATTGAATTATAGTAGCAATGGAAGGGGAACCTGCTTTTAAACATTGCCAGCAATGGAAAGATATATTGGTGAAGAAATTAAACAAGACAAAATATTGGTGAAAAAATAAGTAGTATGGGTTGTTGGCAATCTCTTCAAACAGGCTCCCAAATGCCATTTTCAACCCTCTAAAAGTACTAAATTTCAATTTCTTCGGGGGCTTCGCCCCCTGGACCCCCAGCAGAATTTTCCTTACTTTTCAGCTACAGCTGGTGGAAGCACTGTACTATGGAGCTATATGAAGTTTCAGTCGAGTGATTTGGGCTTGTCAAATAAAAATTCTTTGCTCTCTTCATCATCAATATATATGTGTCTTTACAGCATCTCTTGGTGTGGGGTCAACCACTTCTGTTTTGATGGGCATCAATTTCAACGACACAACACAGCCTGCGGGATTCCAGCTAGCCAGTGAACAAAGGTCATTCCCCATCAACATTTCCGCCCCAGTCGGTGAACTTATGCAGCCCCACACCATGGGGGAGAGCGACTTCAAGTCACAACAAGGTAACTAACCTCTTGCACTTTTCTTGCATTTGTACTGTGTAAAAAAGTTAAGGTCTTTTATCATCATTTCCCTCTATTGTGTGGGTGTTATTGGAGAAAAATCCCTGTAAGTTTGTGAACTCAAGGGACTGAGATATTATCATATAGCTTAATAGTGAGTGTTGTAGTGATAAACTGGTTCATAGATGGAATATGTATTCAGGTTTGATAAATATTATTTTGAGTATTTTCAAATTCTGCTGTCTTTACTAGAATAAAGAAGTGAACAAAAGTCAAAGCTGTTGTTTTGATTTGTATCTAGTGCACGCAAAAATAGACACCGGCATATGAAAGTGTATGAGAATCTGTGAGAATTTGTGAATAATCAGTGGACAACTGTGCAAGCATATGGCACGTGAATAGAAAAGGAGTTTTGGGTCTGTTGTTGCAACCCTCTTTCTGTTGGTAGAAATTATCTAGAATTGTGACCAGAAATTGTGCATTTGTATTGGTTCATTGATTTAACGTGATTTGAAAGACAATTTTTCTTTTCTTGATAATTTAAGTTCTCTTTTCTGGTCTTTTTCTTCAATAAGTTAAGACTTAAAGAGTGGGGAGAAAATGTATGAACCACAATGTGATTGAAAGATTTAATTTAGTCATGAAAGATGATAAATTTCAATTTACAATTATTTTTCAAATTTTGTAATCATATCACCTTATTTATTCTCAGCAAAACTGGGAGGAATGAACGAGAACAGAGAAAGCTGTGATATTCATGAAGAGAAGCAGAGTCCTGAAGGAATATGTCGCTGTGTATTGCAAGCGGCAAACCTTCTGCAGGTGCCGTCTGCTGATCCAAACACATACAACTTTGCTGCTCATACTCTCGCCTCCTCTACACTGGTCCTGGCTTCAGTCAAAGTGACGGGGAAGACTGCAAAGGTCACAGTCAATTGCGAGAAAATGGTCATTGGCACAATGTTACTAAAGGATCTAAAGCGCACACTTTCTTCTAAGTAAAGCATGTTCGCACATATTTTTTATGTCTTACTCATTATTTAATTATGTTCTGGCATTGAATTTTTGATTGGTCTACTTTTTGCCATTGCAATTATAACTACTCAAGACTGTCTTTTGCACAATAGTTGCTAGTGGGGGAGACCTTTCGCTAATTACTTGCTACTCTCATTTTGTTCATGCTGTTGGAATTCATGATTACACTTGGCACCAAATGTGTGACTATAATTGAGACGAAATGATTTGGGGGACCTGGCTTAGTGAAATGTGAGATTTTGCACAGTGCTTTCATTTGAAAAGAACGGAGGACATAGACCTAATGAAAAGCATGAAAAAAATGCACTTTTATGTGAATAGAGTAGGGGGCTTGGACCATCTTCATATAACTTAACGTTTGTCACTTTAAATATGGCCATTAGTGACTGATTTCCTTCAGTCTCTTAAATGTTGAGAATTGAAGAGATGTGAAATGACCAAGTGATACTTTTTATGAAGTTTGTTGTCAAAGGCTGTCTTCATTCCCATTATAATTGTATTGTGGAAAGTACTTTTGTTATTGATGTTATTTTTCAAGAGAACCTACAGACTGATAAATCTCTCTATATAAATGTTTTTTGCGTAAAGGAACAACTTATTGACTAAAAAGTTATGTAATTATTTTTGTTCTTCTTGAAATGAGCTATTGGAGAGGAAAAACTTTATCATGTCTTGTTGTATTTGACACAAAGTTTTGTTTGGGCTAGCCTATGTAGTCTTTTCAATTATTGTTTTTCTTCAAATTGTGTGTCTAATGAGTAATTTCAGCATTGTCTTACCCAGAGTGGATGGAATGATCCTTTAAGCTACTATAGCTTATTATATGAAGAGACTCAAGAGGATGCTACAGAGTGTAGAACATCGATAGTTTCATCACACTTGTCACCACCAGCATTTTCTGGCACACATAGGTCTAATTTCTTACATTCACCATCATCACAGATCTTAAAGTTTAGATTTATGTGGCTCCAACACTGTTGTCTGTCCTGACGAAATAATGCTTGTCACCACTGCACAGAAAAGTATTGATTTGAACGTATAAATATGGTGTCACAACTTGTTTGCCATGATTGAAAGGTTAGGGAACGAAAATGCTTGTCACAAAGCATGATCTTGACTTGAGTCTTTTACCCATAAAATTCCCTGCTACAAATTTTCTAGAAAACACCTGTTTCTTTTTCATTTTCTGAAACCGGCAAAGCAATGCTGACAATGCTGATAATGCACCCTTTTCTTTCCTTCTTTATATTTTTTTGTAGCTACTGGATCACAAGAAATGGTTTCCGTTATTCCGCACTTTGAAGTGGACCTGCGGGTTTTCTTCTTTTTCTTTCTTATTTCTTTTTTTGTTGTAGAAAATAATCTTTTTTCTTTTGACAATGCATGGACTCTTCAATTCCAGTGGTGTGTTCAAGAGATGTAATTGTTCCATCAGTATTTATGTGGAATAAAATATTAGTGTATTGGAACCGTGCATTTTGATTTTGATGGTTATGTTACCCAGAAAATGTTTATGTGGAATTGTTTTTGTAGAGTTGGGAGATAAAGTTGAACTATGAATGTTTTGTTGAATGATGATTGAATATTGAAGGCTGTGAGATTTTTCAACAGTGTGGTTGACAAATATTTAAGGAAGATAATAGAATTTTTTTAAAATTATAGTTTTTTTTTCTAAATTGGGTCATTTGTTGCGTTTTGGTTTGTTTTGTGTAGAAATAACTATCGAAAGGTCCAGGCTTTTTTTTCAGTAAAGTGGTGATATCAGTTAATGATCATAATTAATTGTGTTTAGCCTGCTTGACGTCGTGGTACAAGATTGTGTTGTCCTGATCTGTGAATTAAACTTATTTTGCTGATGTATATTTATGTGTGTTGCCTTGCCTTGCCTTTTGGTTTTTCTTTCCATTCTTTTGTCATAGAAAAACCTTGGAAATTGCATAGGTCCAATGCAAGGAAATAGATAACCTCTAAAAGAGAAAATATAAAACATGATGTTAATAAAATGTAGGTTGGATTGAGATGCCTGGTTTGGTTGGATAATTAGAAAAATACTTGGAAGTCCTGTGTGCTTGTTATGAGTGCGAAACCCCTTGGAAGTTGAGAACTGATGAAGAGCAGGCTTATGTAGGCCAGCTGCTGGCAATTGAAGAAACGCGTTGGTGTAAATAAGTACGAGTAGTATGAGTATTATCATAAATAAGTACGAGTATGAATACTATCAAAACGCCAAGTGCTTGGTTATGGTTGTGACTGCTCACATGACTTCACATTAACGCCCTTAAATGAGAAACAGTTCTGTGTCGGACACAGATTTCACTATTAGTATTAGACACATCTTAACAGAATGTCCAGAACTTTGAAGAGTAATAAAGTAATATTTTAAATGCAAAAAATTGTTCTCCTCTGTTGATCCTAACAGAATTCTCGATTATACAAAGGCCATTGGCCTTTACAATAAGGAGTTGTAGATAGCGTTATTTTAACCCTATTCGTACGCCCTGGGGTCATTTTGTACCCACGGAGTTGTATTCTTCACATTTTTAGAATACTTCTAGTACGATG